CCGGCTGGGTTTTGTGCCACTCCACTGTCCCAGGCGGTAGCAGCAGGGAGTGCCCAGTGAGTTCAAGCAGCTCCGGAGTGCCCCTGGCAGACAGAAAACCGGAACGCTAATAGCAGCTGCATTCTGCACAGTTTAATCGCTCGACCTGCCGTTTTAGGGGGATGGGTTTGGCTTTTTTCCAAATTGCGGCTTTGCAGAAAGCCATATCCTACCTAATCTACCTGCCCTGGCTCCTTTTCCTCTTTCAGGAGCGAGCCAAAGCAGAGAGTGTGAATAAGCAGCTGCGGCAGCAGCTCTCAGATTACAGAGTGCCCCCGGTGGTGAAGTATGTCAATCAGAAGATGGCCATCTATGACCTGGAAAACAATATTAAGATCTGGGAGAGGAAGGTGGAGATCGCCGAGGTACAGTAAGACAAGAACTCCCGGAGTCTGTAGCTGCGCATAGACAGTGTCTGTGTCCTTCCCTGTACACAGCTGGGGTTTAACTTCAGAGGGCACCTGTCTGTGCCCACCCACGTTCATGCGATTATGGTGAAGGGGTCTGTTGCTTTGCAGCATGAGTGGGCGATTTTAGTTGTGGTTTTAACTACAGTGTAATTGAACAACTCGACGAGCTTCCTGTTTACAAAGCAGCGATGGCTGAACTGAATGTATTCAGAGGACAGAGTGGGTCTCACAGTTGAACCCAAGGGGTTTTAAGCCAGGACCTGGTTATTAGTGAGTTAATAGGAAGCATCATCCAGTTGTTATTATCGTGACCTTTTTAACAACTATCAAATACAGAAGAGCAGCAGTGTAAACGTCTCACCTCTGCCCATGGAACCAGTTTGGGCCTTTTCAAACACCCACGCTCGTGACTGTTTGAAAATGTTTTGGAGCTGATTTCTGATCATCTTCCTGTAACACGCTCCAAGCACTTTACAAGCATTCACTATCAGTGACTAATCGTTATCCCTATGTCACGCTGGCTGGGGCGGCTATGACTGGGAGTGCCAACCTCAGGGCAGATGGTCAAAAAGCAGGGCAGACACACCCCAGATTGGTGGTATGTTCTATAATTAGATTTCACCAACACAGTAACAAGTGTGAATTCCTAAAGCGCTGTAACAGCCTTACCATGGAGTCACAGACAGTCGCCTTGGGCATTCCAGTTTATCTTGCCACCCAGGCAAACTGGATTATGTGATAGATAGTCACTGTCCCCCGAGGTGCCTGGGGCAGGCCACACCGAAAATGTCAAGGTCAAGGCAGGCTGCAAAGAGGAGAGTAGATCCTCCTGAGACTGGTAGGTGACACTGATGTTAAACTCCCCAACCAGTCCCAAACCGTGCTCCTGATCCCCCACACTAGTTATCAAGAAGCAAAAAAAGAAATCACACAGCCCCCTTTCTTGCATTCCAGTTCTCTGGCTCCCAATCAGCACCTAGGTGCAGTAAGGTGAGGAGTTCTTTAAAAACTCTTCTCACTATACAAAATGTTCTTGTGACCCCAAAGGGCCAGCCACATTGCCAGGTCAATATTGGGTTGGAGCTTACCCTAAATCCCACACTGCCAGCCAGTCCTTTAGTGTCTAAAACTAAAGGTTTATTATAAAGAGAAAAGAAAGAACAAGAAGAGAGATGTTAAATAGTAAAGTGGTCACACACATACAAAGACTTCAAAGGCCATACATCAGGTTCTTGGTGAGTTTGCTGGCTTAAAAGTCCCTCTGGAACACATCCACAGGTACAGTATATTCAGTCCTTTCTTCAGAGCTTCCGTTTGTAGCAAAGTTCCTGCAGAGGTAAGAAGCAGGAATGAAGACAAAATGGAGATGATGCAGTTGCCTTTTATAGTCTTTTGCCATGTGGCTCTTATTTCCTTTGTTCCAAACAAAAACTGCCCAGCACATGGCATGGAAGCCTTAGACTTCTCTGTGCACAGGCTTTGCTGCTCACTCATAAGGTGTCTTCCCTGGTTCCTTTCAGTTGAAGTCCCTTGATGGGCCATCAAGCAGGCTAGGCAGGGCAGATGCCAATCTGTCTGGGAGTGTCACCCAGCAACACAGCACAAGCTTGGAAATACAGCTATACCCTACATATCTATAACTCATAGCACAAAGGTGATACAAACATATAAACAAGATGATCAGACTTGGCAAATTGTAACGTTTTTGCAGATGCTTCACACGGCATATCTGGCACGATTCATTGCAATTTTACAATATTGGCATCCAGAATATCATAACGTGTCTCCCATATTCCATACAGCGTCGCAGTCACTTTCCACCAAAAATCCCAACAATATTCAGGCCGTACATATCCCAGGCCAGTTGTACTCAGATCTCAACGCAAAGACAACGCCTGTAGCCAATCCTGTCACTAACTAACTAAATATTTATTAACTAAGAAAAGAAATGAGAGTTATTGACAACAAGGTTAAAGCAAGAAGCACACACAGTCTTAGGGCTGGTCTACACTAGGGGGGGATCGATCTAAGATATGCAACTTCAGCTACGTGAATAGCGTAGCTGAAGTCGAAGTATCTTAGATCGATTTACCTTGGGTCCTCACGGCGCGGGATCAACGGCCGCGGCGCCCCTGTCAACTCCGCTACTGCCGCTCGCTCCGGTGGAGTTCTGGAGTCGACAGGAAGCGCGTTCGGGGATCGATATATCGAGTCTTAACGAGACGCGATATATCGATCCCCGATAAATCGATCGCTACCTGCCGATACGGCGGGTAGTCTGGACGTACCCTTAGATTTTAAACGGTAATATGAGCTTCTGTAATAAGCAGCTCTCTCTGTCTTTTAGGGCTGACCCATGCCAAGCAGCATGGGGATCTCTTGCTTATGTTTTGCCCCTCAGAGTCCAGACAATATAAAGAGACATGGTTCCTCCTTGTCAGGGATTTTATCCCTTTCACTCCAGAATCCAAGCTGGTGGGATGAGTTCATGCACAGGCCTCTGGTTCCTGCAGGGAGTGAGGAATGCAATCAACAAGGTCTCTGTCCTGTGATGAAAACAATGAGGAGTCCTCGTGGCACCTTAGAGACTAACAAATTTATTTTGGCATAAGCTTTCGTGGGCTAAAACCCATTTCATCAGATGCATGGAGTGGAACATACAGTAGGCAGGTATAAATACACAGCACATGAAAAGATGGGAGTTGTCTTACCAAGTGGGGGGTCAGTGCTAATGAGGCCAATTCAGTTAGGGTGGATGTGGCCCATTCCCAACAGTTGACATCTTGCCCAAATAAATTTGTTAGTCTCTAAGGTGCCACAAGGACTCTTCCTTGTTTTTGCTGATACAGACTAACACGGCTACCACTCTGAAATCTGTCCTTTGATGCTACATGATGCCTCATTTGCCTTCAATGGGCCATCTTGTGTGCATGATGAGCACTTTACCTTAATTAATGGTTCTCTTCCTGTCTGGTGAGTTACACAATTGCAGAGGGTTACAAGGCAAACACTCAATATAACTTTATACCAGGGGTAGGCAACCTATGGCACGTGTGCCGAAGGCGGCACGTGAGCTGATTTTCAGTGGCACTCACACTGCCCGGGTCCTGGCCACTGGTCCGGGGGGCTCTGCATTTTAATTTAATTTTAAATGAAGCTTCTTAAACATTTTAAAAACCTTATTTACTTTACATACAACAATAGTTTAGTTCTATATTATAGACTTATAGAAAGAGACCTTCTAAAAATGTTCAAATGTATGACTGGCACATGAAACCTTAAATTCGAGTGAATAAATGAAGACTCGGCACACCACTTCCGAAAGGTTGCCGACCCCTGCTTTATACCGTGGGAGACAGATACTGTAAGTTGGATTAATACATGCAGCATCCTACAAGCATTCCGGAAAGTCTAACCCTGAGATCTATTTTAACTCTACTAACCAGACTGGTTTGTAGCTCCGCATTTGTCAGTGTTCACTGACGCCCTGGGCCTTGGCAGGAGCTGGTACCTGGTCTGCCAGCGTCACAGCCCACTTTACTGATGAAGAAACTGAAGCACAGAAAGGTTGGGACTTGCCCAAGGACACACAGTGAGTCTGGCGCCAAGCTAGGAAAAGGATCCTGAAGCTATTGCCTTAGATCATGCCTTGTTACGCAGCGAGATGGGTAGAAAGAAAACAACAATAAAGGGGAACCGTTTAGTACCTACTGGTGAGTTCTCTGTATTGAAACGCAACCCTCGCCCCACAGTCAGTGAATTGAGATATGCAGTAGTGTGATGAAACCTGGGCAGATTCCTACTAATATCACACACACACACACACTCTCTCTCTCTCTCTCTCTAACGCAGAGAGATGGCCCTACGTTGCATACTTAGATTGTAGGGTCTTTGGGGCAGGGACCAGCTTTTTGTTCTGTGTTTGTACAGCGCCTGGCACCATTGGTTCCTGGTTCAGAATGGGGCTCCTAGGCACTAGGGTAATACCAATAATATTAAGGGTCAGATCCACCCTGGGATCTGAATCCAGCATTCCCCAAAGTTCAGTGTTATTCAGGTTCAGATCCCAGTATAAACTGCTGTGGGGGATCTCAGTGCTTTCTATACAGTATTCAGAGGAAAGCCGTGGGAGGCAGGACCTACTCAAATGCCCTGTGAGCTGAGGGGCGAAAACATTATCTACTCCATGGCAGTTTGCCATTGGCTTCTTATGTCTCCATTTTTACTTCTGCAGATGTCCTTGCAGAGCTACCGCAGAGCTTGGAACAAGGTCAAGATGGTCAGTAACCAGCTACAGCTTTGTCTCCCCCTGCAAGGTGGCCAGTGAGAGATCTGGCTTGGAGCCAGCCACGTGAAAAATGAAGCTGTCGACTGGGGGAATGCAGAACACTTTCTACTGCAGCTTGGTCTGTGACAAGAGATGGAACCATTTCAGCCCAATTGATAAAGAAATCAAAAGCGCCTGGGTTTGGACTCCTCTAGTTTGTCCAGTCCCATTTGTCGGAGAGGCTGGAGCATCCAGTGGGCTCTGTCACCTGGGTTCTTTGCGGGGCTCCCAAAGTTCTGAATCAGCTGTGCTCCTGAGCGTCCCTTCCCTCTCAAATACGTCTGATCAGTTACTCTCTGGCCATTGTATCTGGACACGTTTACAGTCATTGTCCTCTTTGGACTGGCCCTCGGGACAAAAGGAATCAGAGTTTTGGGGGGGGAGGAGTTTAAAGTTTAATAGCCTGAGTGAGTGCTAAAATACAGAGACGGATTAACACGCGAGGGCGTTGCTGTGGGGGGAGGACCTGTCAGCACCGTGCACATGGATCGTGCCACTGTCAACAGCACTAAAACCGATGGAGTGCAGTGAATGGTCCCTGAGGCCAGTCAATCACACAGTTGCCTCGGTTACAGTGTCTCATCTAGTAAAACAGGAGCCCGAGCAGAAGGAAAACAGCGCTGATTTCCGTGAGGATCTGCGGCAGATGCAAGGTCCCCTGAGAAATGGGGAGCGTTTCCCCACTGTAGTAGTCATAGTACACTGGGTCAGACTTGCTGTAAGCCCTGGCTAGCCCTTCCTGGGCAGGCTGGATGTCCTTCGGTCGCTGCTTGGCTTGGCCACGGTCAGACCCAGCTTCTGCGATGACCGAGGATCGAAACACCTTCTCTGCTGACTCAAACGACCCTCCCAAATCCTCAGTCGGAGCTTGAAAAGCGGAGCGCCCTCTGGCAAACGTGGGATATACGGGGACTCCTGCGTCAGCTGTTGTGGCTGAAATCCAGTCACTGTAATAGGCCACTTTGGTGTAGAGAAATGGTCCATAGCATCTCATGCCGCCCTCACTCAGCACTCCATTCAGAACCCAGTCTCCAGTTCCCTTAGCCTGGCACATGACTGGGTTCCCGGGGTCCCCCTTTAAGAGAGAAAAGGCAGGTTTCAGTCAAAACAGACCAGTTTTCCTCCTACGTGTGCTCTCACTGCTCCTGTATCCTGTGGGCACCTCTATATTAATCCTAAACTGGAAGGGGGACAGATCTCACCAGCTCCAACCAGCTACCAGTAATTCCAGGGGGCTGGCTCTTCTTTAGGCTGTTAGAGCACCCCCATCACAGATGCATTGCCCAGAAATCTGCTCTTCGGGCTCCCCAAACATCCCCAGCATGCGGGCTGAACAGGGGCCGCATTCATGGGGTACGCAGGGGAACCCAGTTTAGTTTTCCCAGGTGAAGGCTAGTACGTGTGATGTGACAAAGCCTCAGGACCGAGGAGAGTGAAAAGTGGCCTGTGGAAACGAAGGCCTTTATTATGGCCCAAGGCTGATTCGGGCCCCGGATCTCCTGGACAATACAGTAGCTAACTGGGGGCTAGTGAGTGGGAGGGAAGCAGAGGCTGCTGCCGTTCTTGCAGAGCTGAGGTCCCCCGGTAGTTCACACCCTGGGTCAGTAGAAGCTCCTCACCAAACATCCAGTCACGTTATCGGAGTCCTGGTGGCTGCTGCACTCGGTCGTAACGATTCTCTTCAAGGGGCAGGGATCCACATCCACTACTGAGAGCTTCCTTAGAAAGCTCGCTGCCGTGCGTCGTCCTGTCTGAGCCAAGAAACCAAGAGATCAGAGACCCCCAGTCTAGGGCCTAGGAACCGGCAGTGGCCGCGTTTCTTCCTATGACACGCCCAGCAGGCTAAAAGGAGCGCTCTCTGCTTCAGTCCATCGGGGATTAGTGTCGCTGGGTGGGCAGGGATAGGTCCCTGCACTGTCAAATGAGAGCGCTGGGTTTGAAACATGGCTCCAGCCTCTCCTTTCACCCGGGGGCACTGCACCCCACCCACCCCCCAGCCCAGAGACTCTGATCCAGCCGCTGTTTGCTGAGCAGAAATGGATCTAACAGCTCCCTGGGGAGCACTGTTTGGCCTCCCCTAGCATGAGAGGACATGTGGCTTTATGGGGAGGAAAAGAAAACAAAGACCTTTGTAGTTGGGATGCTGCTCTGTGTACCCAGACCGTGTACCCCTCACCCCGCTACTCGGCACTGGATTTCATACCCTGCCCAGTGCATGCTGACCCGGAGTGGGATCCACACAGACAAGACCTCTTGAAGAACCACAGTTACTATAAGGCAAGTCACCATTCTGGTTTCTCACTGGCTTTTCGAGCTGGAAGAAGCCAGCAGGTCTGATTGGCTTTGCAGTCTCTCTAAAAGCACCCAGACTTTTGAATGCAGCTCTTGAGGTTTGCCCTTCTCCATGGGCGTAGTTGGGGGACCAGGGGAGTATCCCCCCCACACAACAGGGCCAGCCTCGTTGGGGGTGCGGTGGTTGGGGGGATGAGGCTCAATGCATTTAACATAATGCACCAGGACAGGTGCCTGCCAGCAGCCCCACTGACCCCTGACTTCCTCCTCCTCCCCCACAGCAGCCCAGAGTGACGGTCCTAGTGGAGCCCGCGCTGCCGTGTGTCTCTGTGTGGTGTGGCGGGGAAGCAGCCTCCCCTCATTAGCAGCCGCAGCAGGAAGGTGGCCACAGAAAAGCACTAGAAGGAGGCACTAGAAAAGCAGCGGCATCAAGTCCTGCTGGTGCCAGAGCGGCCGCAGCTCCTGCACTCAGGTCGCCACAGCGGACAGCAGCTGCTGGGGCTCCCCCGCTAAACCAGCAGCCCAGGTCCTGCGCAGCCTGCCGCAGCCAGACTGCCCACCACTGCAGGCATGGGGGAGAGAACCAGCGAGCCGGGGGACTGTGTGTGTGCATACGTCCGTCTGTCCCCCTCAACGCGCACACACAGTCCCATTGGCCTGGCTAGCGCTGTCCCCCCAAATATAGCAGTCAAACTCAGCCTGTGCCTTTTCTAGTACAGGTCACCCAGGAAAAGGAAGGGGTTACCTGCAGTGGGGTGAAGCCACCCTGACACCCAGCAGTTCTCCAGGGTGGCTGCGGTGAGGTTCCTGCCCGGGAAGCAGATGGGCTGAACAGCATCACTGAACTCTATGGGGGTGGCCATCTTCAGCAGGGCAATGTTCTTGTCCAGTGTGATTGCGTTGAAGTCTTGGTGGGGAATGATGGTGCTGATTGAGTGCTGGGACTGGGGCTTCCTCTGCATGTTCCGATCTGTTATACCAACCTCGGCGAAAGCCGGACGCCTGAAGAAAGAGACCAGAGGAGCCTTAGCCATGAAAAGAGCTCCGGGAACGGAGAGCCCCTTGGCAGTGGGAATTTGACAGCTCAATGGGCGCAGGGTGACACCAGCTCCCGGAAGACATTGAGGCCACTAGACAAAGCAGTTTATACTGGTGCAAAGCCAGTGCGAGATCAGAATCGGCTCCATGCCTTTGACTTGGTGGCTCAGGGTCCAGATCCCAGCACAGCTCAGGAGGGAGATGTGTGCAAAGGTGATTTTTATGCCGCCATCCCACCAGACCTGGGTGGCCCAGCCCCAGTCTGGTCCCTTAGACGTGTAGTCTAAGGACTGCTGTAAATTGCACAGCCTGCAGGGGCTATTCTGGCAGTAGGGAAATATTGGCTATCCACAACCCCCTCCCCCCTTCCCTCAGCCATGCCTCTGCCAGCAGGGACTGGAGCAGGGGGGCACAGATGCCATAGCAGCTCTGAGACCCAGTGATTCCCCCACTGCCAGCTTTCCACCATCAGAGCGCTACATCAGAGGGGAGGATTGGGGCCGAGGTGTACCGTGTCTGGGAGGGGCCGGCTGAAATGCTGAGCATCCGCTGACTGAACGCTGGCACACTGTCCAAATCACCAGGGTGGACACTACTGGCAGCAGCTGGGTGGCGTGTCCAGGGAAAGGGTAGAAGGCAGCCCAGGAAAAGAGGCTAGGTGCCAGCTTTCTGTCCCTTGTCGCCAAGCGAGGGAGAAGGGAAGAGAGGAAGCCTCACAATCCCTTGCCTGGCCTTCCAAACCAGAGCAGAACTTCTCAGAGGACTAAACACGTGAGGGGCTGAAAGGTGGGTGGGAAGAAGAGCCCGGGGCAAATGGCGGCAGTGCCCAATGAACCATGTGCGAAGTGCTGTCTCCATTTCACTGGAAGTTCATTACAGCCGCAGCCTCGCAATGAGCAGCCCCGGCTACTCGGCAGTCGGAGATCATTTAATCTTCCGATTGGCTCAGTTCCTGGTCTTTTTCTACCGCAAAACCTGCCTGTCAAGTCTGTGCTGGGGGGCTGGTTCAGAACATGGAAGGTAATGCACCGAGGAACTGGGTGCTCCTGGCAGCCTCCGTCCCAGGAGGACCTCAGAAGCAGCGTCCTCCAGAGCTGAGAGCAAGCCCGCACCATAAGGAAGAGCGCCACGGCACATCATACCTTGTCTGAAAACTGGATGCAGCACTTAGGATCCAGTGCTCGCTCAGGATGGAGCCAAAGGCCAGGTGGTTGTGTTGTAGGTCCTGTATCGACACCACCCAGGGGAATTCCCCCCCAGCTGCAAATGCCTGCATTGAACTAGATGGTGTCACGTTCCTCTGTGTACCACATCCTGCAAAGCAAATGGAGGGCTCTTTCGGGACCCGACAGACCTGTGCTTCCCAGTCTATTACCACCCTCTCCTCTCTGCTTTTCCTCCATTAATACCTCATCCTTTCCTCCGCTTTGCTTGCGCTCTGCCTCCCTTCTCCCGCCCTGGCCCCTGTCATCTCATTCACTAGTGAGTGGCTGCTGCTGGTGCCTCCTGAGATCTGAGCAGGCTTGTCAGGCAGCGCCACCGTCCCATGAGTACCAGCTGTCTAAATTGCTGACCTCACTTGGGGTTGATTCAGGCAGGGCCCAGGCTCCGTCACCCCTGGGAGCAAGCTGAAGGCACTGGCTGGGGAGTGCAATGGTCAGGTCACGGTGACGGGTTGGATCACAGAAACCCTTTCGGGGCCGCCAACTGATGTGCCAAGACTACTTCTGCCCCTGCTTTCCCTGCCAGCCTGGGACTCCAGAGCCCTGCCTGGTTGCGCCAGACATGCTTGCCAGCCACAAACACAGACCCAGGTCTGAACCACATCCCACAAACTACAAGCTTAACTGAACACAACTTAAGAAATGTTCCTGTCTTTAACACTCAGATGCCCAACTCCCAATGGGGTCCAAACCCCAAATAAATCCGTTTTACCCTGTATAAAGCTTATCCATGATAAATCATAAATTGTTCACCCTCTATAACCCTGATAGAGAAATATGCACAGCTGTTTGCCACCCTCCCCAGGTATTAATACATACTCTTGGTTAAATAATAAGTAAAAAGTGATTTTATTAAATACAGAAAGCAGGATTTAAGCGGTTCCAAGTAGTAACAGACAGAACAAAGTGAATTACCAAGTAAAATAAAATAAAACACGCAAGTTTAAGCCTAATACAGTAATAAAACTGAATACAGATAAAATCTCACCCTCAGATGTTTCAATAAGCTTCTTTCACAGACTGGATGCCTTCCTAGTCTGGGCACAATCCTTTCCCCTGGTACAGCCCTTGTTCCAGCTCAGGTGGTAGCTAAGGGATTTCTCATGACTGCAGCCCCCCTTTGTTCTGTTCCACCCCCTTATATGGCTTTGGCACAAGGCGGGAATCTTTTGTCTCTCTGGGTCCTCATCCCCCTCGCCCCCCAAATGGAAAAGCACCAGGTTTAAGATGGATTCCAGTACCAGGTGACATGGTCACATTTCCTGTGAGACTCCAAGCCTTCATTCCTCCCAGCCTGACTCACAGGAAGGCCTGCCCGCAAACAGAGCCATCCACAGTCAATTGTCCTGGCTGATGGGCGCCATCAAGATTCCAAACCACCATTAATGGCCCCCACTTTGCATAACTACAATAGGCTCTCAGAGTTGTATTTCATATTTCTAGTTTTAGACACAAGAGTGGTACATTTATTCAAATAGGACGACCACACTCAGTAGATTATAAGCTTTGTAATGATACCTCACAAGAGACGTTTTGCATGAAGCATATTCCAGTTACATCGTAGTCACACTCATTAGCATATTTTCATCAAATCACATCGAGTGCAACGTCCGTCGCCTCTCCCAGACACAACCTCACTCACCAGCTGCCGGGGAACGTGAAATGTACAGCCACAGCAGCACCAGGCCTCTCGTCCTGCTGCCCTGGCAAAGCGATGGAACCCTAGGGAAACCACAGAACAATCCTCCTGCCATCACCTGCCTGGTGCACCTTGGCTGCCTAGACCATTGCCTCGGCCCCTGCAAAGGCAGCCACACGGCGAGGGGAGGGGTTGTTAGGGTTTCCTCCTGCTAGACAGTCTGGTAGGAGGCCCAGGCGTCTGTTTGTCCCCCAGGCCGAGTTGGAAACGGCGTTTTCTCCCCAGCGCCGTCCCAGCTCTGCACATCCTGATGTCCGCCATGCGGCCTCGCTGTGGCTCAGCGGGGGACCCAGGGCCAACCAGTGCTGGACTTGCCCGGCTGGTCAGGGGGCCGCACAGACCAAGAGGCAGGGCCTACTGCGTCGTGTTCATTCTTAAAGAAATCAGCTCCCGCAGGTGGCTGCCTCACTCCAGCGTATTCTCCATCACCGCTCTGATTACCTTCAGCTCCCCGTTCCTTCTCCCCTCTCCCTCACCCCAGCCAGACTCCTGCTTCTTCACCTACACGATCTCCAAAGCCCCAGCCTTCCCTCTCCATCCCACTTGCCCAAATCCTTGGGTTATCCTAGCCATAGACTAGTGTGAACCCCAATTCCCCAGCAGAGAACAGACTGACCTCCCCCAGCCACTTCCATCCCCACCTTTCCCCCGCTGCCAGCGTTCGCCCCGGTCTCCTCTGCATCATTCTCCTCTCTGCAGCTGCTTTACCCAGGGAGAAGGTTCATCACTCGCTTCCTGAAGTCATTGTTCGTCTGGGCCGAGCCAAGGAGCAGGGCACCGCGTGTGCTGGCAGGGTTCTGATGCTGCATAATCAGCCACTGTTAGATCACTGTTGCCATGGCATCTCCAGCCACACTTAGGGAGGAGGCTAAAGCGAGCCAGTTTAAGACGCTCTGTACAGTACCTGGTGCCCCAGGGTAGCTCAGCTGGGGCGTGGCTACAGGACCAGGAAGCATGAAAATCCCCAAACAATTCTATTCAGATTAGCATTAGGTACAATCCCCCCGATCCAAATAGAGACCAGCACCACGGGCCGGTATTCAGTGCCCATTTGCAATGTGCAACCAGCCCGTGAGGCTCTCATCCTGCACGGGGGAGTGTGGAAGGGATCTTCTTTCATTCCCATCAAAGAGCGGTTTGAAAATGGTAGGGCCAGCCCACAGCTTAGCACTGCCACACCAGAGACTGAGATGTGACTCATGGTCCCCAGGGCAGATACTGATCCCAGTGACGCTGGTGTGACTGCAGAGTGCACTCCATTACCCGGCCGAAGGAACTTTGAATTCACACTGCACCGAGGGAACGGAGATCAGAAGCTGGCTTCTGCTCTCACGCCTCAGGGAGCTGCGGAGGCACCACCCTGACCGCAACCTTGGAGGCGAAGGGCGTCTCTTCTGTAATTCATCGGCAGGCACCCTGGCAGAGTAAGGCCCAGAAATGAGATGCTCCAAAGCGACTCCTTTGCCCAGTCCTCCAACAGGAAGGATGGCGTGTTTAAAACAGAGCCTTGGCTGGTGGGTTTAAAGCAGGGGGAAAGGACCCTTAAAATGGGGCCCCTTCTTGCCTCCCTGTGTGAACTCAGAGTCAATTCTGCTCAATTCAGCTACAAAAATAAGCATTTGCTGCACTTCATCTCTGCAGCGGTCACTCAGCTGGAATCTATCCCATCTCATGCATCACGCACAGAGCGATTTAGTAAATTCCAACCTGCTTATTGAAGGCAGTGGGGGTGCATGGCTGTAACAAAGGGCAGAACATTTGGCTGGCAGCATCTTTCTTGGTGGTGATGAGGCGCAAGAAGGAAAGAACCCAGCTTGACTCTGCCATGCTAGGCTCAGTGGGCAGGGCTGGCAATCTTACTTTTAAACTCAGGACATTTATTACAGAAACCATGGACAATCAACCCAGAGCCCCATGGTGCCATTTCTAGAGTCACTTGTCAGAGCAGGCCTGTGTTGTGCTGGAGACTTTTGGGGGATCTGCCACTAAGCTCGTTTAGAGGGGAAGCGTTTACCAAACTGTTCCATGTATGGAGTGTCTCTATTAGTGGAGCGGAATCCGGGTGCAACATCTCTTTATATGTCCTTAAGGGAAGCTCAGCATTTCACAAGGCCCAGGAGATGCGTCTTTTAAACTCTCACTGCTGCTTCTATGCTGGGTCAGCCGGCAGGGAACATGGCTTGCTGCTTTGTCACTGGAGAGCCTGCCTTGAGGTCAGGGAGAGGATGTTGTCTCCGTGAGCAGCAGCTGAGTCTGCAGACCACCAAATTAAACGGAGCCGTTTTAGTCTCGCAGCTGAGCGGTGACAGAGACAGCTCCTCATGCAGGGCCGATGCAAAGCCCAGAGCAGCTTGTTCACGTACGGGGCCGCGTAAGCAGCCTCGCCAGCAACCGAAGGATCATTGCCGTGCCAGAGTTTGGGTCAGGCCGTGCCTCAGGCCAGTTTACTAGTTAAACTGAACACACAAGCAAAATACCCAAATAAGGCAGGTCTTCTGCCCCATGTAGGCTTGAATGCCCAGAGACTTTCCCCTCACCTTTCCCAGCCCCTCCAGTCCTTGCTCGGACCCCAGCACACCTGTAGTTCTCATTCACAAGGTCATCTGCCTGGGGATCACTTACTAGCTAATCTTTCCTCTGCTCCAGCAATCTGCTCCCTGCAATTCTCTGGCTCAGCTGAGCGTTCACTAGCCTTCAACTGACCCCTAGCCCCACAGCTTCATCTAGGAGGCAGCGAGCTGATCAGTCACAGGTGGGGCTGGGTTCTTCTTCCCTTAAAGGGAGACAACTAATGTGGGTTAGCTAGCTTGTGGTAGAAACACACCTTTTTGGCAGTGAAGCCATAGCCTATGAATTAATCAGTTTAAAACCCCTCTTTAGAGAAACCAGCATAACTCCTGTATGTACACAGGCCTGTGGCCCCACTTCCACCTTTCATCCTACTGAAGTTGGAATTGAACAGGCTGCAGTTCTGAAAGCCAACCCAGGGCACCAAGCCTTCTCTATTCAGACTGAGGGGGTTAAGAACATTCGTCCAAACTACTGATCTACTTGGCTGAATGTCCCTTACACTTTATCATGTTTCGGGCTCATTCAGAGTGTCAGGGAAGATTTAATGATTAAGAAGGAACTACCCAATAAAAATCTATTGATCCTGGAAAACCACTAACCCAGCAAAAATTGCACACACAGGACCATCTCCAATGGGCTTCTGAGATGCATTCATTTGGTTTTCCACCTGGCAAAATAAATGCGGCCATTTTACTTACCACGTTTGACAGGTAATCTTGATTAAATTAACAAAACAAAGTGAGACATTTAAAAACTGGTTTCTACTTATTTCCCAGAATTCTGTCCCCTGTTGTGCAGAGTTGTACATCTGTGCCCTGCCTCTTCAATTATCGGCTCTGTGAGGCTGCTTTGCATCTCTAGATTAAAATCACATTCCCCTCACTTCTGGCCTTATCACCGAAAAACATTGCTCCTGGTGACCTTTAAGGGCAGATCTCGGATACAGCCCCTTCTGACTCCGTTCTGAAGTCTCGGCAGGGTGCCCTGCAGAAATGCCTCCATGAGCACAGTTTCTCATGCTGCTCAGTGCCTTCCAGCGAGTTTTACAGACGGAGGTATTCGGCCTGCAGGCAAGCCAGGAACTGGCAACTTCCTTGCTTAAAATGTCCTTATTTAAGATGCAAACAGGCAAAGATTTTCATGCAGCCAGCCAAATGTACCAGGATCCCTGCAGTTTCCAGAAGAATTTCCTGCCCACAGCTGTACAGGAAAAGCTTTTGAGTGGGTTTTTTCTGAATCCAGCCACAATGTAAACAGCTGCTGGAGGTGAACGGAGTTGTTATACAGTCACTTGGGTCTTTTGCTCAAGGGTGATGGACAGGGGTTTGGGGGTTGTTTTTAGCATTCATGAAATGTGCCAGGTTGAGGGCCTTGGAGACTCACGCCCTCGTGCCACAGACCAAGTCCAACACAAAGAGTGGCGCTGGAGATTCCCCCACAGGAGCCCATGGCCTGGCCTGTAGGGATGACAGCTGCCCCTTTACCCATCCATTCCTTAGCCCTTCTACTATCTGCCAACACAGGTGTTGATTAGTGCTGACTGCGGTGATGGTTTTGTGATGCGGACAAGTTTCCACCATGAACTAAATTGAGCCCACAGCCTTATTCCACATGGACTACTGAGCAGCCACCAGAAGGCACCAGCTTTCACTTACTACTGCCGGGGACTGTGTCTTAGATGTGAAAGGTTCCATCTCTCACCACCAGTCGCCTGAAGCATCCAGTCCCATGATGAATTGGTTTATTTTTGCTCCGAATACACTGACTGCACAATGAGAGAAATGGCAGATATGGAAGCCCCGTGGAGAATGCTCGTTATCTCAGGGCTGACGGGAGTACAAGGACAGGAAGGCCTCAAAAACTTCCCAGTGTGTTCCTGTTGATTGACACATTTCTCCTACTAGAAAATATACACCAGGAGTATGTCACACATGCTGAGATGATGACATTCATCTTCGTGACACAGGGTGACCTTGTAATGAAGAAGTGGTGCAGCCAGGAGTGGCCAATGACTCGGAGCAAGTGCAGATATATTTCAGGATAGTTGATTGACACAACAGTCCATCTTTAAAAACCTCCCTGGATGGAAAACCCATCTGCTCTTTTGCCTACTGCTCCTAGCCTGCAGGGGTTCTGTGTCGCTCTGAAACAGCCTTACGAGTTCTGCCTTTCCTATGAGAAAAGAGGACAGGAAGGGAAAAACGGCCAGAGAACAAAGGCTGGTCAAAGCCGGGAGGGGGTGTGTAACGGAGCCACATTTTCAGCAGCTCTGGTGTCCCAAAAGGCCATACATGCAGCAAGAATATTTTTCACATGGAATGCATCTGAAACGTCTACATGTTGCCAGTTATGCTGAAATCATCATCAGTGTAAATATGGAGATAGTGAAAGAGCAGCGGGAGCCCATAACCCCCCCTTACAGAAACTGAGTGGTCAGGATAAGTAATGGGCCCTCCTTGGCCTTTAACTGCTTTTAGCCGCCCCCCCTCAGGAGTGCTTTTCTAGGTCTGATTCTCTGAGGTGCAGAAGTCGATGGGAATTGCTGGAGGTCAGCCCCTCTGAAGGTCAGACCGTGTATATCTTAACATCCCCATGGAAGTGCCGGAAATACATGAATGGTTCTTTTTATACCTCTAGATTCCCTATGAAACCCTGTGTTAAAAGAGCATTCTGACTGCAGTGACGCACAGGATGGCAACGGTCACAGCCTCCGCACTGTGCCTTTGTGTGCTCGCACGGTGAGAGGGGCTTTCCTTAAACGCTCGTGTACTGTCGCTACTGCACACTCCCGGCCCTGGCCCGGACACGGTTGGACAGTGCCCAGGGAGCGAGGAAGTGGCAAGACATTTCTGTTTAAATAACTTCTTCAAACAGAAGCAAAGAGGAAGGCTGCATGCAGCACCCCAGCCCCATCACTTCTCACCACTCAGTGATCGTCTTCGGGGAAAATGGATTACCATACTTATTGTTACACTGGTTAAAAATAAATCCACTGGCTGCAATCAGTGCTTTCCGAGAAATTCTCTTCATCCTCATTGTTCACTGAGTGCCTCGTTCCCTGTATGTCATCTGTCCTGCGCACACTGGGCCTGAGTCCTCTCCCTTCACTGTGTATTTGGAGTAACTCTGATATTATTACTCCCTGTCCCGGAGAATTTACAGTCTAAGCAAATCTAATCTAAGGAATTTGACTGTTGTCAATGGGTGCTTCAAAATCAGGCTGCTGATTTAGGTTCTGTAGCAGGGCGCCTCCCGATGGTCGTCCAAGGAATTAGCTCTTTCCATTCAGGAGTGCCCTCTGCAGGCCGGTGTCTCGCTTGCCGCTGGCCCTGGTGTCCCTCCCGAACCCCGGTATCCCTACCTCAGGGTTCCACCCCGTGCAGTATCCGCTGTCTCCCTGGGTCTCCCCTCCCCAGGGAACCCCCAACCCGCTATCCCCACCTCACCTCAGTCTTGGCTACTGCCAGTCACCATCTAGCCCCCGCTCACTGGGGTGGACTGCAGAGTAAAAGCCACTCATCATCAGCAAGGGGGGTTTGGATCTGCTGCCTTGGCCTACCCTTGGGCTGCCCTCTGCAACCCCAGTACCCTTCTGGGCCTTTAACAAGGCCTGCAGCCTGGAGGGGTTTCCAGGCCAGAGCTCCCCAGCTCCTCTGGCCTTTCCCCAGCCCTGCTCCACTCTAGGTACCCTGCTCAGCTCCCAGCAGCCAGGCCCTTCCCTCTCAGCATCTAGAGAGAAACTGGCTGAGCTCCAGCCTAGCAGCCCCTTTATAGGGCCAGCTGCGGCCTGATTGGGGCGTGGCCCAGCTGTGGCTGCTTCCCCAATCAGCCCAGGCTTACTGGGCTGTTTTAAGCCCTCCAGGGCAGGAGCAGGGTTACTGCCCCGCTACAGGTACCTATGTAGGCTAATGGAGCCTGCTGTTGTGCTGAGACCCCTGTCCATCATGCTGAATCCTGTCTCTCCGTTTCCTTGTGCTCCCCTGTCCGTACCCATCTATTGACTCTTGCCGTAGACTGTCAACTCCTTACAGCTGGGCTGACTTTTTGTGCTGCTGGTACAGTACCCAGCCCCAGGGGGTCTTGGTCTGCACCTGGAACGCCTAGGCACTACGGTAATACAAAGAATGACAGTAATAAACAAACCTGGAATCAGATGCCTAACTGTAGACACCCACGTCTGAAAAGGTTGGCCTCACTATATGGTGCAGCAAGGGAGACAAAGAATGAGGCCAGGCAGGTTCAGAACAGCTTTGCCTCCTTCAGGAAAGTACTTAAGCCCAAGTTGTAAAGTTCAGCAAGGGCTTAAGTGCTTTCCTGAACAGGGATCCTTTGGCCACCTACTGGTTACTGTTGTGTGCGCTGTGAAAGCTAACTCCCTTTAGTACATCAGGTGATCCTTGTTACATGCCTATTGGTAAAACAATCTACTGATCATGTGTGAAATCTGATCCTCAAAGCCTCCTCACTTGCAGTGTTCTGGGGAGAATCCCTTTGAATTTGGCAAGGCACCTCGCTAGCCTCAGGGCTACTTCCCTGCCAAATGGCCGTTTTCTAGCTCCACCCACTTCACTGCCTCCAAATAGCAACACACAACTTCTTTGTCTTGAGAATACTGTACTTGGAGCCTCAGTTGGGTTGGTCACGGGGATGGGGGGTGTGTGATGCAAGTTCCACCACCACCCCCGTTCCCTCCCCACACAGGTCTGGAGACAGAAGGAGGCTCTCTGTCCTGCAAGGGAAGGGTGAAACCCACACCTTAGGAAGATGTGATGCATTCAGGGCAGTCAGAAAGCAGTTAGTCAACCATTAGCAATTGCCACTCCACTACTGCATACAAAGGGCTCGGAGCTGCCACCCTTAATTCCAGAGAGTAGAACAGCATTCTGCAAGCAGTCCCCTGGAGTTTACTGGGACTACTTGAGGAGCAAGGGAAGTGTTCAATACAAGTAAGGGTGGCAGAGCTAGGCCCAAAATAATGATACCTACTATATAGCAGTCACTTGGGATAAGAGAAAGAGAATGATTTTAATAAACCTTCAACGTCTCCTGCTGCGAACAGAAATGTCTTGGCTTCACCTTCGCATTTATCTAGCTGCGGGAGCCCATTCTCCGGTGACAACCTTCTGTTTAATTGACATTATCTCCTCATTAATTCAACTCTCCCATTTAAATCATTGGATGAAAAAAGTGAGGAAACAGTATTAGGTTTTACCTGATTCTTAAATGCATTTCCCAGGCAAGATGTTATCATAAACAGCAGGACTTTAATATGAATAAAGAGCATCTACTACAATGTATATTTATCTCCAGGGCTGTTACCAGACTTTTCAGGGACCTTGTGCAGGTTTCTTTAAAGTCAGTCCTGCAGGAGCCAAAGATCAACTTTCTATTGAAGAGACAAAGGGATCAGAGGTGGCCAAAGTAAACAAATACATGTGGCCCACACAGCTCTGCGCTCACTCGTCTTCAATATGCGGGGGAGACCACCATGCAATTCTCTATCTCCTAGTGGCCAGATGGAGCATTGCAGGCCCGGGCCACCCCTCCCATATTAAAGAACAGGGTGGCTTCAATCTGTGGTTCTAATTTGAACCAAGTCTGGGTGCCTCTGTCGTACATAAAGACAGACAGACAGAGAGCACAAGGGAACTAGGACTGGGGTCGATTAGAAAAAAAACAGTCTCCAGCTTGAATCCTTCCGATGGTGCTGGATGTAATAGTCATGAAAATACAAGAGCATCATGAGGGGAGGACCCAAGACCAGACTGATCCACATGAAGATGTTGCCAAAATTACCACCAAAAAGCCTTTTCATTAGACAAGCCAGTGGGACCTGTAGGGAGAAGCAAACACCAAGTCACTAACAATATTCTTCCCAGTAGTTCCTACCATTTTCTAAATGGTGCAAGTGCCCTTAACTAGAGAACAGGTTCAAAATGAATTTGCTTTTATATAACAATGACTCATTTTATTTCTAACACATCCCTTTGCCAAAGTATCCTGGGCCTGTGCACAGAATAATAAAACAATTTAAAAAATCATTAAAGAGACCACCTGCTAATATTTAACAACTAAACAGTCACAAGGAGAAGGAAAGGTCCTATACAGAGAGCCAACAGATGTCAAACTAAAAGTCATTGTTGGAACAGAAGGGCTTGAAGATGGTTTTTAAAGGCAGGGAGAGATTAAATAAGAAGATTTCAGGGGGGGAACAAATTCTGCACCACACAAACCATCATAGCAAAAGAGCGATTGTTACACTGAGGAAATTAACCCTCAAAATTCAACAGGTTTTAAAACCAGGTGGAGCTAAATTGTAGAACAGGTGGCCTGAGCGACTTTTCCTGAGCTGGTTACAAGACCACAATAAGGTTTTTTCTTGTTGGCTTAAAAAGATTTTATAAACTGTTCAGGGTTAAATTACTGCAGAATTTGGCACATTTCTTCCCAGATTGCCAATGGCTCTAAACATTATACCAGAGAAACCAAAGAACAAGGAAAAATTTCTCTGTGATGGGTTTATAAGCCAAGACGTCTGACGTTTGGCATTTTTTGCCATAAAAATAAAACTGGGGTATGTTTTTTTTTAGCATCTTTACTGCATGTCAGAAAGTGACAGCTCAAAAACATTTTGTAATGTAGCTCCCCAGCGTGAACTATGCCTGCCCAATGCTCACCAGAAACCCTGGGTTTGGCAAAGCTTTTACTCAAGCCTTAATTATAAAGATCCTCGCTAGTTAGCAGCAACAGTACGAAGAGCTTGGTAACCACTCCCCGTTAGATTTACATTCACTGGCAGAGTTTCCATCTTAGCATACCTGGGCTGCCATAGCAAAAAACATCCAAAACCGGAACATCTTCAGTGGGATGGCAATTAGATACTGAAAAAGACAAAAGCGAGGCTCTGAGGTGCACTGCCCTGAATGAGACTACAAGACTCTGCTCTTTACTATAATAAGCAGTGAATATGTGAGTGTGAAGGGCCCGATCCTGACATGACTTCAATAGGACTTTTTCCTGAGGAAGGAATGATGTTGATAAATTCCCTTCATATTCAAAGGAGAGAAGAAGGGGAAAGCAAGCTACCAGCCTAGTACACTGACCATAGGGACCAGGCTGGGGCACATGACAGCCAGCATTGCTAGCATCAGCCTGAGCTCACGTGCTCTGTCTAGTTCTAAAGCACAGTCATTCGGGCAGCTAACTGCCAAGAACCAAGAGTATACACAGGGAAGTCTCTGGCCCCGTCCCTGCATGCAGCAGCAGCAGTATGGCTTGCACAGGTGCTGGGCTGTCTCTGGCCAGGGGCCTGTCAGCCTTGTGCCTAGTTCCCCCATGACAATCTCGGACAGTCCTAAAGTAGGTGTTTCTGGTGTCTAGGGCAGCAGTAACTACACCTATGCTGCACCCTGGTCATGGAGGCAAAAGAGGCTGTGACAGGTGGGTTATGTAACAGGTCATGTAGCCACCCACCGTCTGCAGGAATAGGGTTGTTCTACTATCCCCAAGGCTGCATGAGTCCACAGGAGCAGATACCCGAGCAGGCTCTTCAGAACTGGGCTCACAGTGACAGTGCAGGATAGAGAGTGACTCAGAACCTTTGTCATGAAATATTACAACAATGGAATTCCCTAGGGCCCCAGGGCTAGCGTTCAGCTCTGAAATGAGGGATAGCCCTGGAGAAAACTGGGAACGAGGAAAGCGGCACAGACCTTCAAAGCAACCTGTGCACCCTTAGCACTGTGTGGATCATCAGTTACTAGTGACGCATTTGTCAGTGGGAAAGAGTCCCATATTCTAGGAGTTAATTTTTCCAGAAAATTTTCTAGGCTGGGAAGTTGGCATGTCTATACCAGCTAACCTGCCTCAGTAGCACTTTCCTCCAGCCATGCCCCCTTTTTAACTGACCACACCCCATTTTATAGCCACACCCCTTACGAGGCCCTGGGTCACTGTCTGACTAAGTGGAATGAGACTCCTTGTGCACACCTGATGGATTCCAGACCGGTGAAGCTTAGCCTACTTTGGCACTTCAACCCATTTTCTGTCTAGCTTACACTGCCATTGACATCGCCAGTACATTTAGTCCCATATGCTAAATGCTTCTCAGCTAGCGTACCCAGGACACACCGCCCAGACTGGGGTCTGTAGAAGAGACTCTTATTGAAGAGACCAGTCGAATCTTCGTAGATTTCTCAGTTTGAATGAGTGATCTGTTAAAAGTCAATGACAGTCATTTGTGGTCTCAGGACAGTGCCCCCTTGCTAGTGCTTAGAACTGGTCAGATCAGCACTGTTGTGACCTACCTCATAGAAACATGCAGAGAGTAGGAATACTGTCATTCGGGCCTGCCACTTGTCATAGCCGTGATGCAGCAAGGGCCTGTATACATGTCTATGGACACAAGCCAAAAGGAAAAGAGTTACTTACGTTGTTTCCTGGTGCAGTCAGCCATTAATATCCGTATTAGTCCGACAGAGCTAGATATGTATCTTATACCAGGGTAACTCCACTGAAATCAGTGGAGATACTCCAGATTTACACCAGTAAATAAGTGCAGAGTTTGGCCCACAGGAAAACTATTCTGTCTTACAAAAGTACTGTTCATTAGTTTCCTGCCCTTTAGCCCTACGCAGTGACAGAAGGAGCTAGGGAGAAGGGTAACTGCACTGAACTGGCTGTTGCTGGTAGGAAGATAAGTTGCAACCTCCATAGGTTCTCCTGCGTTCTGTGAGCTTCCACACGGATCTTAGTAGCTTACTGGTTCCTCCATATGTTTTAATGAACATGCATCAAAAATATAATTACACGAAGAGGCCAAGATTTTCAAGAATGGGCTATTCATGTTGCTTCCAAGTTCATATTTAAGGTACTGAAAAGGGGTGGCCTGGTTTGATTTTCAAAAGTGCGGAGCACCAGTAATTGCCATTGAAGTCAGCTGAATCAAAATCAGGCCACTTATTTCGCTGCCTAAATATGACCTTAGAGCCCCCTTTTTGAAAATCTTGGCAATGGCTTTTACCTAGAAGAGTGGTCCTGCTTCTTGCACAGTACATTGGTGGTGGGCAGTGTTAAGGAGGTCAGGGTGTATGATTCTCTGCATGGTCGGGGTTAGAAAGCTCACAAGCTCTTCAGACTGGTTACCCTGCTACCGTGACTTAGGCAACATAGGACTATCATGGCAAGGAACTCTGTCAGGTCATGCCCAGGTAACGTGGGAATGGAGTAGCACTGGCTTTGTTGGGAGCAGGAGTCACTTTAGCAAAGGCCCCAAATATTACGGGTTCCCAGTGGACTAAGAGGTCACTATTTATCCTTCCAAAGTTAAAAAGGCTTTTAGGCTCGAATCACCTGTTCAGCCTTTTCAACCTGTACCAGACGGCACTATAAGAGCTACCAGTTTCAATGGACATTGAATAGACAGAGACTCTATTTGTTTGAGATGTAGAACCAGATCAGAGCCAGTGTACAGCTGGGATAGTTGGGCTGCATGCTGGGGAATCTCAGTGCTAAGGAATCCTTTCTCCCAACCTGCTACTGCAGCCACCAACATACCCCATGTGCATAGGGAAAGTGACTGGGAATGGCAGACCCACCATACTGCACGTTCCCTGGCCCATCCCTGACCATCTACACATTGGGGCGAAGCCTCATGGAGCAGAGGTCTGTGAGGCAAAAGGGTTCCACATTCCCTGATGAGGAGGAGGTTCCCAAATTGCATCCCCCACAACTGGAACTGCACAGATCAGAACCCCCTGCAATTGCAGAGGGGACAGGGGTCTATGGGGTTGCTGTATTATTCCTGAAGATCCCATTCTCAGCAGCACACGATAGATTCTTACCGTTATTTTAAATCATTGAACTTAACAAAACTATTACATTTCCTCCACCACCCTGCTATTCCTCCACAACCACCTGAAATGTAAAGCTCACCCATTAATTATGCCTAAATGTCAAGGCTTAATTGCAATGCCTCAGAGTTAAATTTCAAGCCAGCAAAACTACTGATGTGATACAGCAGGCAAATAGACCCACTCATGGTGATTTAATCCTTCACAAAGAAAATCAGTTATTATTATTATTGATTCCCAGCAGCAATATTTCATCTCCTAAATGAAACTGAATCTGAACTGAAAAATGCAGAACTCATTTTTGTACCTGTCTAGCCACTTGTGGGCAGGGATATTCCATCTGGACCAGAACTGTAAGACGGAGTCTGCATTCCTACAAGAACAGAACAAGCAGAAGGCATGTCTCTGTATAGCACAGAAGGAAGGGCATACACCCATTCTACCAGACACACATTTTTCAGCACCAATTTTGGTTCACCAAAAATCAAAATGCAGCTCAGTCAATCTGCTGATTACAACTGCATTTTCCATGGCACTCCTGAAATAACCTCCGGATAAGGGCTTTGGTATTCTCTGTAACGCAACCCCTGGAGTCAGAAATAAATGCAGTGCTTGCTATTTACAGTAGAAGGGTTTAAAAAAAATCAAGTGCACCCTGGAGTACTGTACAGTTCAATCCACTTACTCACACATGTAACTACTCTGCAGTTGATTTGCATGCATGTATCCCTCCAGTGGTAAGCCCATCATTTTTACCAGATCTAGAACGTGGGAGCCAATTATTTCACACTTAACGATGACACATGATTAAGGCTATGATTTAATCACGGGTATTTTTAGTAAAAGTCATGGACAGGTCACAGGCAAGAAACAAAAAATCACAGCCCTTGACCTGTCTGTGACTTATACCATAAATACCCATGATTGAATGTTGGGGGGGGGGGGAGAGGGTGCTGCTCCGGCCGCCGCTGGAGGGAGAGCCCCGGGGGCCTAGCCACTGCTCCGGCGGCCGCTGGGGAGGGGAGCCCCAGGGCCAGCTGCTGCTCCCGGGAATGCTGCTCAGGCAGTCACCGGGGCCAGCCGCATCGGCCGCTGCTCAGGCAGTCCCCAGGGCCAGTTGCCCGGGGCCACCAGAGCACCGGCCAGTGCAGCTGGCCCCAGGGCCAGGGCCACTCCAGCAGCAGCTGGCTGAGGGGCTGCCCGAGCGGCTGGCTGCAGAGCCGCTCCAGTAGTGGCCAGTGTAGCTGGCCCCGGGGCCACCTGAGCAGCTGGCCCCGGGGCCACCTGAGCAGCTGGCCCTGGGGCCAGGTGCTTGGGCGGCCCTGGGGTCAACCACACCGGCTGCTGCAGAAGTCACGGAGGTCGCAAAATGTCATGGAATCTGTGACTTCCGCGACCTCCGTGACACACACGGAGCCCTACACATGATGTATTCCGATAAACTATGAAACCACTAAGTGCTGTATGTGACAGCACAGGCACTGGCCTTTTAGGCAGTCTGGCTTGCTGGGGATATCTCCATGTAAGCCAGGGAGCTGTGCAGCCTTAAAATCCCTAGTCAGAAGGGAGTGAGCTGTGAGAGGGAGGTGACGCTGGGAGCTGGGAGCCTGAAGTGGATATCCTTGGGGGACCATGGAGGGGAAATACAGGTGCAGTTGCCTTGAACTGTGACAATGAGTTTAATATTTTAGGTCTCTCATTGTCGATGAATCAGTTATCAGACCTAACTGTAGAAAGGAAAGGCTAAGGTATTGGGTATGGAAACATACAGGGAAGAGAGAGCCCTGAAAGCCAGTAGTTTTTTATTTCAGCTAAATTCAATATCTAAAAGAGCATGCCTCTGCCAGAGATTTTAAAGGAAGACTGAGAATGGCAAACCGATTAAAAAAAAAAGAAAGAAAATAGCCCCCTTTGCCTGCAGATCTCACACCTTGTATCTTCTAGACCTGATCAGCGTGAATCCCTCATACTTTTGTGCAGAGGCTGCAGAGCATATCACTTCAAACTTTTCAGTGTTACCTAACTTAACTGGCAGCCATTCCTACTTTCCCTTTTACAGCTTTGGCAATCTGAGATAGGTGGATAGTCAATGAAAATGATGAAGGGGTATCCACCACCTACTGCACTTCCTGCCTCTCACCCACTCTTCTAGAGTGTAACATTCTGGTTCTCCTGACAATGTTTATACCAGCAACAGAAGATTATGCATACAAATGGAACTTACCCTGACGACACTCTAGTGACTATCATCTCGTGGTTCTCTTGAATGCTGTATTTATGGAGCTAGCTTACATTTCATTTATACTGTAGTTACAAAGAATTTACACATGGAGCTTACAACGAGATGACACAGTCTCTGAGTCTCATACTTGGTGTGTGTCATATGAATATGGGAGAATCTCAGCTTTTTGTAAAAAAATAAGTTTTCTAGCCCTGATGTCTGCAGAGCAAAAATGGAAAACGTGGACTCTAAAGACTCAATTACCAGAAAGGCAAATAAAAAGAGCCGAAAGTTTTGATTTTTTTTAAATCTAATTTTTGAGCCAATCTAATGTTTTTAAAGGCCTGATTCATGATTTTTGAACGCTTGGGGTTGGCAATGCGGTAGCTTAATATTTACACTTACAAAGTATTTGTCCCTGGGGGTAGTGACTTGCCATTGGGTTAATGGAGTTTGTTTCTGTGATTAGGTAACAAATAGGTACCAGTGGAAGCCATTTGGGGAGGGCAGTCTCTGTCCTTGGAGAGCAGGAAATGTAATCACTGATCACCCTTCCTGACACGAGAGGATGGGAGGAGGATGCAAGGCTCCTAAAGTGCATCTCTAGGCCTCGGAGTAGGGCAGAGCAGGAATGACATGGTCAAATATTTGACATGGGGCATCCTGACTGACAAGCAGACAACCCACCAATGAGCCCTAGGCACCTGGCCTCTGGGGTCACAGCACCACTTGGGTTTGGCCTGGTCACCGCCCTGTCAGGATGGGTGGAGAAGGAGAGGAGACAACCAGGACAAATTTGAGTGAGTGGCATTGTGACCCCATGCTCGGGGGTTCCCTTTGCCCTGCCCCATGAATTTGGGCCCATGGCTGATGCTTAGTTTGCCAATGCCTTAAACATGCATAACTGGTTCCTGTAGACAGCACCAGGTCAAGCCTTGCCAACTGCTCCTTCTGCTGCCTCCAGCTGAAATTGTGGAGCCCTGGACCCAATGTCTGACCCAGAGGCAGACCCAGTCTGCTAGGGGTCCTGCAACAAGCCTATGTACTGTACTGAAATCCTCCCACTGAAATCACTGCCCTAATTTTTCCACATATTGCAGGGACTAGACCAGTAGATCTATGGAATGGCTTTGGAGCCCTTTCTATACATGCATCTTTCTGATTGTTGGTAAAAAAATTCACCTCCTTAATGCCCAACAAAGAACAAAGTATCATGGTTCTTTACATCCCTTTCATAACATGTATCTCGTAAATCCACTCAGACACTGCGGGTGGATTATGCCATTTCTTGGGAGGCTGAAATCATTCGTGCTTCATGTCGCCTGATCCATCCACAGTATGCAGAACGTCCCTTCCACCCCTGCAGGCCATGACTCATTGCTTAACTCTATACATGCATGCACCTGTTCTCAGCAGCAGCAGAGTTAGGCTGTAACTAACATCTCTGTGTGCCAACAACTTTAAAGTATTTTCTGTACCAATGCTTAGGAAATGAGTATCAACAGAATAATTACTTTATATTCTATGATAAATAATAATACACAGGAAAGTGTGTCATTTTACCAGGTTGAAAGCCAAAAGCACAGAGAATTCAACTACAGTACCTGCAAAGTAGGCATGTCTGGGTACAACTGTCTGATTGGAAATTAAATAACTATTTGATTTTTTTAAAAGAACCCAAAGTTGTTTTTTTAAATGAAAAATATCCCTTTCCAATCTGAAGTACACCTCTACCCTGATATAACGCGACCCGCTATAACACGAATTCGGATATAACGCGGTAAAGCAGCACTCCGGGGGTGCAGGGCTGCCGGCTCTGGCGGATCAAAGCAAGTTCGATATAACGCGGTTTCACCTATAACGCGGTACGATTTTTTGGCTCCTGAGGACAGCGTTATATCGGGGTAGAGGTGTACTGCAGGCTTTTGAGGTACTTATGCAAACTAGATCTTGCCAGGAAAAGCCAGCCCCTGGAATCCCTATCAGGTGCTAGTGATACTGACATTACCAGCTTTTCTGGAAATAGAGGTCAGATCAGTGAAAAATCAGACAATGGTTTAAAGTGTAGACTTTGTTTTCGAACTCTCCTGTATCTTGTTTTCACAAGCCCACCTCCTGTGCAAATGGCAGTGGAAACAAGAAACAGATGCCAAAACACTTGTTACTTTCAGCTGCTGGCTTCCGTTTCCTGCTTCCACAGGGAATTAGCCGACGTACGGTAAAGCCTAGATTTGTGGACCTTACCTGAATCTTATTTTAACAGATCCAATGTCTATTTCTGCAGATATAGCGGTAAAAGTTCAAGTATATTTGTAAAGTTTATGAGGCAGATTCTTGGGATGTCACTTACACGCATGCAAAGTGTGGTATAAATCACTGTCTGTCTGATTAGGTGACGTTTTAACATCCTCTTTCCATTGTGTAAAGGACTGCACAAGGTGCAAAGCAACAGAGCATCTACATCTGTACTTTAAATTCCTTACCTTGCTTTTCCCAGCCCCATTGTTACCTAACAATGCTAATTGACTATCAGTTACAGAACTCCAGTCAGTCATGCTAGATACCTGTACAGGTAGAACCTTTGCCAGCCAATCAGATTCCTCTTTTTTTGGAATGGTAATTTTACAGTCTCCCCATTGACATTAAGCATGACACATAGCGGTCTGATTCTATTAAGCAACAGCGATCTGTTTTGACAAGAGGTAGAAGAAACCTTACCACCAGTCTAGATAAAATTGCCGGTCTCCAAATCGGAGCAGTTCTGCAAGGCAGTTGAGGCAGGAGTGAAAGTACCAATAAAAAAAGATCAGCCAGATGAAATGATTTGGCACCTGTGTGGGGAACATAATAAAAACAATCTTTCCCTTCCGTACACTGACACTCCTCCAGCACTGCTTGAATATAATCAGATATAAACTGGCCCTTGCCACAGCAACTGCTCTCATAAAGAGAGCTACCTTCTCCTGGATTTAAGGTATCCAGTTGCAAGTGACGCAATGGAGACAGGCTTTTAAATATGATTAATATAAAGAAACATATGAAAATGATTCAAATATAAATAAAGCTCGTAGACTAATGCAGGGCAGGGTTTCTATAGGAAACTGAGAAACTATATGGGCCTATGGTGTGTAATGAGGTAATTTTGGAATTGAACCTAGCGAATACTGAGAGAGTGAGCAACTGGCTGGAGTCAGGCAGAGGACAGACAAACTTTTCCAGGCAGTTGTGCCAATGCGCCTCATAGATCTGGACTGAGTCGTGCCCTGAGGAGATGGCTCAATGTGTGTGTGTGTGTGTGTGTGTGTGGTTTGGGGGGGGGGGGAGGAGGAGGATAGATTTTTTTATCTTCAGTGTGGATAAAAATGTAATATGAACTAGAATGAATCAAATACATTCCTCTTGTACCCCCCAGGTTTCCAACAGGGAAATACTCATCCATTAACCATGGTCCCACCTTCAATGCTTTGTTTTCTCTGTTTTCTTGTAAGAGATAATATCATTTTAGGCCTTGTCAACACATAAAAGACATACCGCTTTAACTGCACCGTGTAGCAGTACTACCCCCCACGGGTGGATGCAGTTAGACTGGAATAAAGGTGCTTTTATCAGTATCGCTTAGGCTTGGTCTACACTTAAATAAAACTAATCCCAGCATAGCTCCGTCAGTGAAAAAGCCACAACCCCTAGCAATTTAGCTATGCCGATAAAATCCCCAGTGTAGATGCTGCTGTGCCGACAGAAGAGTGCTTCTGCTGACATAGCTAACGTCGTCTGGGGAGATGGTGTTTCTACACCAGCATAACAATTCCTTCTGTCAATGTACACTGCATTCACACTAAGGGGCTATGCCAGTATAAATTTTACTATAGACAGGAAGGGAAATAAGCTATACCAGTACAAAGCACCTTTCTACAGCTATACCTGAATCTATACTAAGGATTCAACCAGAATAACAATTTCAGTTTAAAAAAAAGCACACCCCTAACCAAAAAGAATTATATTGGTACAAAATCTGTGTGTAGACCAGGCCTTATGGTTGCATAGCACTTTTCATCCTGAGGGATCCCAAAGTGCTTTACAAGTTAGAGAATGGTATAGACAGACATTTCCACTGAACGACTGCTAGCTCTCAGGTAGCACGGCAGATGAGGGGGACCCAGCATTCTGCGTAACAGTGGTGGAAGAGGATATTTTGGCCAAGGACACAGGACAAATCGCTAGACTTTCTAAAAGTGACCTGAGATCTTTAATCTCTATTCAGGAGAGACAGGATCTTGCCTTCTGAGGTTTCATCTGAAAGATCTGCACATGGGAAATTGCATAAAACTCAATTTATCCACAGTACACTGGAAGAGTAAAGGGTGGCACTGCCCTTCTGGGCTTCAATCCTCAAGATTTCAGGGAATCTAGCTAAGTCGAACTTGATGCTTAGGTCACTAAGCCATCCTCTCTGACACACATCTAGACTGGAGTTGATTTTGTCTGGTTCTTTGCATGTTTTCCAGCCCCTCTGTTTGTCTCCCAGGAATTCACAGAGGAGCTTTGCAATTTTCTATTCCTAGAAAACTGCAGTAAACAAAACAGGGCAAAATCCTGGCTTCAGTGAGAGTTTTGCCACTGACTTCAGTGAGAGTTTTGCCACTGACTTCAGCTGGGCTTGGATTTCACTTCAAATTTCCAGACATCTGCCACAATGAGAGTGTAGCAGCAGCACTTTTTAATGGTCTTTGCTTTGCTGTTTAGTACAATCCCATAACAACTTCAGTAAAACGAATGCAATTAGTAATGTAATCACTGAATATGTGTAACACCCAGGGGAACATCAAGGGAATATCACCCCTTGTATTTTTTTTCTAAAATGAAGGGTTACATTTTCCCATTGATACACTAACAAATATAGGACACCACATAATACCTTTTCTGCTCTCAGTTTAGTTCAAGATGAGATATGATCAAATGGAACATGATGGCAGTTTAAGATCCCGACAAAACGCAGTGCTATTCTGAAAAGTGATCATGTCAAACTGGGTTTACTCAAACAGATCTGTTTCCTGATCCTGATTTTTTGCTTACTTTCATGGGTGTAAATAAGGAGTAACTGTACCGAAATCAGTGGAGCTTCTTGGTGGAAAACCAAGGAAGGGGAGAGGTGAATTAAGCCCTTTGCGTGCATCATAACTGCTGACTTCAGGGACATAGCTCTGCAGAAGCAACCCAGCTAAGAGTGAACTGGACTCTGTTCCTTCCTGTGCAACATCAGTTCAACTGGATACACAAAGTATGTCAATCTCCAGGACTGACAGGCCGGCATCTTCCACAAGTACTAAATCCATTTAAAGCAAACACAAAGATGTTGATACCAATCCATTGCCATAACAACCAAAGGGGCTTAGTGCTATGGAGGCAGAGCATGCAACCTCTGGGGAGAGGACCTTTTCATCACTGACGAGCAACCTTTCATGGTGTTAATGCATCCAAAGGGAATGCTGCCTAGGCCTCCTTGGCCAGAAGCATGGGGACTGTTGACAGGCCTTGGAAGGGGACGCTACCCAGCTATGAACGGACGTAGCATAAAACAGGGGAAAGTGGAGGAAGGTTTAGGGCTCCACCAGGGATGTGGAGGTCTTTCCCACATATCAGTGAGGGAGGTAAGTGTTTGTGGAAAAGAAATAACTGCTAACCTAACACCAGGGTTTTCACTCCAGCTCACTATAGGATATTTTGTCCCCTCCTCCCAGATGAGGACCTGCCAATACCGATCCATGCACATGTCACCTACAGGCTGGATTACTGTTATTCATGGTATCTGAAGCAGAATGTGAAAACCATGCCCAAGCTCAAGATGGTATAGAATACAGCTGCCCACCTTCTCCATGGCTTAGGATGCTGTGAGCGTATCAGGCTAGGGCTCAAGCCCCTCCAATGGCTCCCAGTTAGCTTCTGCTGCCAATTTAAGCCACTGGTCCTTATTTTCAAAGCAATTAATGGCTCAAGCCCTAGTTACATCGAAGATTGAATTTCGATCTTTGAACCATGACAACAGCTGTGCTCCTCTGGGACAATGCAGATCACAGAGCCCAGAACAAAGCACATGAGAAGTAGGGACAAACCATCCTCAACTGAGGGGATCTGCCTATGGAATAAACTCCTAGAGAAGACTGGGCCAATCCAGAATGTAAGGGTCTTCAAGAGATGCTGCAAAACCTTCTTCTTCAAAAAAGTAATTCCACCGTAAGAATGACACAACACTGGCACCCCCTTGTACCCAATAATCTTCAACACTGATACCCTCTTCTGCCCAGTAACCCTTACTCAGAACAATAATAAAAAAAGAAAATACCATACTTCAAATAAAGTTTTGACTCCAAAAAGTGAGACGTGCCAGAGATTCCATGAAGTCCACTAGGGACTTCACTATTGCTACTGATTTTACATGGAAGGCAATCAGATGCTATGGTGATGGGCAGCAATACAAAACCCTAAGAGAGATTAAAGAGCTAGAAGGGACTACATTTAGCATGGTTACTGGACCCCTGGCATTCCCAAATCTCCTTTGTTTTCTATTCCAAAGGAAAATTTCTCATAGATGCACATCAGATTAACCCCTGAATCCAAAGCATGCAGATTGAACTCACCGCTAGTTTTAAGATGTATTCTGTAAGTAGGGTGGACTCTATTTCCTGCAGAAATAAACAAAACAGATTACTATTATCTTTGGCACTGGTCTGAATGAGTCAGAATTTGGTTCAAGAAAATAACCAGGTGTGATTTGCTTACATTTATGGGCTTCATTGATTTATGAATATTTGGTACAATCCACTGGAACGAAAAATAAACACAGAGTTGAGGGTACAAACAGTTCTTTCTGGAAGGCATTGTAAAGTGACTCATTCCTTTATGTCTCTGCTATAATGAAAAAGCACAACTGCAGCCTGTGTAGCATACAAATCCTTCCTGAGGCTGTCACACCAACTGAATAGCTGGGAGGACATCTGACACCCTGCTAAACAGCTGCATCCCAACCTGCCGGCTGACTACTGTCATCCTCATGGGTAGCACTCCCTTGCGGGTGTAAAGACCATGACGCTCTAGAATGCCTTCAGCATCAGTTTGGACATGGGCTGGAATCTGTATCCCCCTGCATCTCCCTGAAGCCTGGGGGTACAAAGCGCTTGTACTCGCTCTAGCTGTGAGCAAACACAATCAAATGTATGGGGGTACGTCGGCATGGCAAAGAATCTCAGCACTTGCTATCATGGTGCAAAAGGGTGACATCTTAGATGAACATGCCGTAATAAGAGCTCTACGTGCAGTAGTAAAGTTAGTAGTTTACGAGATGGATTATTAAACTGCACTAATCCACTTCAAATTATGCTTGATTACTGAAAAACATCCGCATCCTCCTTCACTGCACTCATTTGTCACCGCTGCAGGCAAAAGGAATTTGGAGCAAATCGTGGAAGGGAAAATACTGGACAACAAGGCAGATGACAACTGCTGAGGACAGAGTGAATGGGATGAGCTGATGAACTGGGTGTTAGGGGAGGAACTGGGAACAAATTTAGAAACAGGCCAATACGGGGCATGGATATTTGTGCACTTGGTGGAAGATTGTCTCCTCATTGAATCCTGACTGGTCTTCAGGTCCCGGTGGAAATTCCTTTGCCATTTAACCCCAGCCCCCCAGTTTAGATCTTTGCTATTAAATGTTTTCCAGCTTGCTGTGAGAGGAGCAGCTGAGATGGGGAGAAGCCCGAGGAAGCGGCAGAACAAGTTTAACAATCCTCTTGTGATGAGGGAAGCAGTGGGTATTTTCCCTACACGCGCTCAGCCACAAGAGTCTGTGGATTCCCAGTGCTTAACTTGAGGCTGGACAGCCGTAGGGGAGCCAAGTAGCAGGTGCGGGGGGCATGCAACACAACTGACAGGAGTGGAGAACTCCCCCGCCATCCCATTCCCCGACACTTCATCATCTTTACTTTGTTCTATTATATCTGCCCTGTGGTCTCATGGTAGCTCACTGAGCAGTAACCATGGCTTGGGCTATACTTAAAACGTGTCCTGGCATAGCTATGTCAGTCAGGGGTGATGGAGACACAACTATGCCAACAGAAGAGTGCTAACATCGGTAAGGGACGTGGTGTGCCTACAGCAGCAGCAAAACTCCTTCTGTCTGTGTGCATTGCATCCATGCTATGCTGGCACAGGTGCTGTAGTATAGATATAGCCTCAGTCTAAGCAGCTAAAGATAGGAATCTAAATGATTGAGCTATTTCCAAATCGTGTGAGTATTAAGGTAGGTGCAGGGGCTTATTTTGACAGTAAAGAAAATGAAGTGTTAAAGGTCAGACCTAAATAGCTTATAGCATTAAGAGGCAATACGTGGTTCACAGAGTCCTCGTTATCCATGGTAGCTGAATCCCTGGGGTTTAACCTCAGACAAAAAACATACCTGCTGTATTAGCCCCAGCATGAGATGAAAGAGAAAAATCTGCAAAGAAAACAACAAAAGAAGATTTTGGAACCTTAACTCCCTTAGGCTGAGTTGACCGTATCCTGGGTCATCACTGCAAAATCTCCAGTCTATCTTGTATAAAAATACCATAACCGCCCCAGCATCTTCAAGTACCACTGACACTAAAATATCTTGTGCTGCAGCCTTCTCGTGAAGATCTAGTGAATGGCATGCTTCCCAGCATATTATTCAATCGAATACAAGATGTCAAACATCTACATCTTCAAAATACAAGGACTCATCTCGTCATCTGCATTTTCAAGGAGTCCGCAGTGCAATTTTAATCTTGTGTATTTCCTGCATTAACTGACCAAAGATCAGCTGATCTGATGGACTAGTGGCAATGCAATGAGTTATACATGGAGGGTCCATGTTTGGATGCTAAGTTTGATCCTTTGCTCTTTGTGTTGGTTGGAGACAGGAGAGTTCCAGAGACCTCACATCAGTTTCAGTGACCCCACTGGCCAACACTTTACAGGCTGCAAAAGGAATCTTTAGCATAAGACTTGCTGTGGCACAGGGCTCTAAGTGGCAACATGGGGCATCAAGAGGGCTCCCCTATAGAGACAATTTCTCATTTGAGTGTTCTAAAGATGGGGATTCAAAATGGATTTGTGAAAAATGGACATTTTTGCAAAAATGTCAATAAAAAAATCTGAAATTTGTGTTAATTTGATGACATTTCACACCACAAGTACAGCACAATTTGCCTCAATGAAGCTAAAAGAGGCTTCAGGTAGCACTGCTGGCTGTTGCATTTTTAGGATGCATTCGGGATGGCATTCCATCCCTGGTAGACCAAGAGCTGGAAGGATGTCCTAGGACATTCTTCTAGCCCTCCAGGGACTGAGGGGCCTAAGAAAATCTTTTTAACACAGCAGAAATGTGTTTGTAAAATATAATGGGAAAATCATGCCTGGCTCAGAACTGTCACATGCAGCCTCCAAGGAAACATATGCAATGTGAAACCTCAAGGTCTGATACATTCACTGTGATAGCGGGAGCAGAGAAGCAGACAGTTTTAAATGCAATGCCTTGTTCTCACCATTTCAATGAATCTCCTAATGATATAGCCTTGCCGGCAATTCTTTTGTCTTGGGAAATTCAGCTGGTAGCAAAGCGTGGGGGCTAGCAGGAAGTAATACAGATCTTGGGGAAGAAGAAAAATACCAGGTTTAAAAAAAAATCACTTTTCATGGCAAATCGACTTTAGAATTCAGAATATCTACACAATTTGGACGATATTTATTTTTATTGTGAGGTACTGTGATTTCAACCAATACTGTCTGAAAGCTAATGTTGCTAGATGGAACTGGGAAAGAGATGGAGGTTGCCATATTGTTGGAGACATGATATTCCAATCATAACCAGAACCATGGAGTATCTTGATGCCATCACTTTGGGTACCCAATAAACTGTAGGCATGCACAAATGAACATGTGTAATTCCAGTGACAGAAAATCTAAAGCTAGATCCTGACCTACGCTACATGTATAACTCCAGTGTAAATAAAAGTCACTTAAGAAGAAGTGGGTGTAGACATACCCATGGCTGCCCCATGCCATGCCAGCTGACATGAGCTCGTGGGGCTTGGGTAAGGGACTTTTAATTCGAGTGTAGACATGCAGGCTTGGGATGGAGCACAGGCTCTAGGATCCTGTGAGGTTGGAGGGTCCCAGAGCTCGGGCTGCAGCCCAAGCCCGAACCTCTACGATGCAATTAAACAGCCCCTTAGCCCAAGCCCTGCAAGCCTGAGTCTGCTGACACAGGCTGGCCACAGGTGTCTAACTGCAGTGGAGACATACCCTCCGACAGCTAAACTGGGACATGAAGCAGCAGCCTGAGATGCGGGTGGTGCTGAGTCCCTCCATCCCAGTGCAGCAATTACCGGGTGATATAGTGCCTGCTGGAGACTCACTGCTCTTAAAGAGGGCAATGGCCAGGCCTCCTTTCCACCCCTAGAGACAGACTTGGCAGCCCGAACAACCCAAACAGTCCTTATGCTCAGGGAAGCATGAGGACTGCAACTGTGGCCGGCCTCTGCATGGGGCTCTGTGAAGGGAGAAGTTCCTTGCATTCCCTCCACCCTTGCACATGTGCAGGGGACAGCACAATCTCGCCCTAAGAGGGACTGAAAGGTTCATTAAAAAATTCTCATTTGATGTTGTTTGCTTTTAGCGTTTATGACTGTATTCATTTTGGGAGAAACCCTGGCCCTCTGAAACCAGTGGGAGTTTCCTACTGACTTCAATAGGGTCAGGATATCACCCTTTATCTTTGCATCTTCTAAGTGACTATACCACGCAGCCATAGTAGGGCTACGCTGGAAGAGCGAGATTGCTGCACAGTGTGCTCCATAATAGCTAAATTTCGCTATATTTGTCAACCAATTTGACTCGGACTGTATTAAGCTATCACTGCTCATCACACAACGCTTTGGGATGAGTGAGGCTGCTGTGCTCATATGATGTCTCACATTTGGAAGCTTGCATGGAGCTCAATCAGAATTCAACAGCTACAAAACACAAATCATGCCAGAGACATGGCAGAACTGGCAACACAGCAAAGAGAACTCCTTGAACCAAAGACGTTCTCTTATGAGGACATTATCTTTAGAACAGCAGGTAAAATAGCATTAGAATAATAGAATCCTAGAAATGTAGGGTTGGAAGGGACCTTGAGAGGTCATCTGGTCCACCCCCTCTGCTGAAGTAAATCTAGAACCTCCCTGACAGGTGTTAATCTAACCTGTTCTTAAAAGCCTCCAGTGACAAGGATTCCACAACCTGCTCTGGAAGCCTATTCCAGTTCTGACAGAGCTGTGCAATGTTCATGCACACGTAAAGACAGTTAATTTTTCATAGAAGCAATGACTAGAACGCAGGCTAAATGGCGGTGCTGTGAGATGTGCCCCATACTTTCAAACTTAAGGCCAAGGTTTTATAAAACGAGTGGCTAATGTTAGGCTCCTAAGATCATACTGAGGCCCCTAAATAAAAGGCCTGATTTTCAAAAGTGCTGAACCCCCAACAGCTCCCACTGAGACAAGGTGGCGATATCTTTCGAAGGTACTAGAGCCAGTTAGGCAGCTAATAAAAAAATCACAAACATGATTTAAAAAGTAGTTCCAGGTACTACATCTACCCCGAATGCAAGTAGCCATTTTTGTGGCTTTACAAATATAGTTTCCATTTAAAACATTCTCCCCATTTCCCCAACACACAAACACTGTTGCGCTGTGAAAGACTCACAAACAACAGACTGTACAAGGGGAACTGTGAAATTGACTATACCTAAAGTGCTGCCAAATATACAAAGTAAACTAAAAAAACCCAGATATTGTTTTCTCTGTTCTCCTCCACTTACAGTTGTCTTAGGTGGACTTGTAACAGTGGCAGGCAAAGTATTTTCAGCCAGAAGTGCAATTTTTTAAGGGACAATGTTCTTTTAAGAAGAGCTATTATAAATGCAATTTTTGTTCATCTGGTTATCAAGGTAAGCTGCTAGGTTTCCACCAGCTAAACTATTTCAGCTGCTGCAAATACAGTGAAGACTGCTGATGGTGAAGAGGTAACTGCTGCAGTATGTGGAAATGTTACCTTTTACTTTCAGGTTCATTGGGTACACGATCTGCTTTGACTGTCCTCTTTCGTTCCTTCTGGACTGATGGGCTGAAGGATCTGCTGCTAACAAAAGGTGTAAGATCTATCATATGGTTTCAAGTGAATCGAAGGTCACGAATGACTTTATATAACAAGCCGGGACACACAGCTCAACTTTTACAAAGTTCAAGGAGGTGACACCAACACCAACTTTCTGTCCAGCTTTGACTTCATGCTAATCACTGGGTGCATAGTTTCCAACACTTTGGGTCAAGGGTCAACTTTTCTTCTCTCTCTCTTTAGGTACTTAGGTAGCCCCCATTCCCATAATATCTGAGCACCTATTATCCCCATTGTACAGATGGGGCACTGAGGCACATCCCCCGTGTCACACAGGAAGTCTATGGCAAAGCAGAGATTTGAACCTGGGTCTCCCGAGTGTCAGACTACCACCCTAACCATTGGACTGTTCTTCCTCTTTTTTACAAAGAGAACCACATATTTATGAAAAAGAGATCATCTCATGAACATGTCTCCTGTGGTTCACAACTGTGTGAGCTACTTCCCCTTCCTTTTGTGATCACCCGGACCACTGCCCTTCCCCTCTGTGATTATGTGCATCATCTGCTATTGGTTGGGGCAAACCAGCACACAGGGTTTGGTTGCAGGATGACTGGAGGAGGCTAATAGACACCCCACCCCCCCAAAAAAAGAGGAGCCTAGAAGAGGCAAGCAAGAGGCTAGAGTAGGTAAAACTCTAAGCAGATAGGAGCTTATGGTGGGATTTTCACATGAGCTCGGCGTTGCCCTAACTCTTAGCCCACTGAAGTCAATGGTAGAGAGGAATTTAAATAATTTTTGTCAATGTACTCCCAATTACAGCTATGTCTTCACTGCCAAAAAGGTGTGTTTTTACACCAAGACAGCTAGCTCCAGATAAAGACCCCAACCCTGCTGATGACTCATGTGGGAGTCAATATGGGTCCACAGGATGAAATTTCTGCTTTTTCTATTGTTTTTTAAAACCTAGGAAATTACATTAAAAAAACCTATGTTAAATGATCATTACGGTTGCAAAGCCAAGCGCTCAAAAGTTAGGAAACGTCAGCATTCAGGTTGCCTGTGCAACCTTAATTCATCATCCTTGTGCGTATGCGTTAATGACATGATCACATTCTATCTTTTCCATTTGCTCCCAATCAAGGGCTCAGAATGTCTTTCGGAGGCAGAGGAGAACTAGGGCTAGGAATGCTGCAGGGAAGAATGCTAGGCACAAGCGAAGGTCAGGAGAAAGTGTAGGCTGAGGAGTAAGTATGGCTGTTACTTAAGTTAACAATAAAGGCAAACCTTTGGAGGAGTGAATGTAGACATTAACCTACTGAGTGCACGCTGTTCTGAGAGCAGGGTGAGAGTCTGCCTGCCTGTTCATAAACACCGAGGCCCTGGTCCTGTTCCCACCGAATTCAGTGCTGCCAGATCTAGCCCTTATAGAACACTTTATATCTTATATCAAATATTAACGAGTGAATCCTTACAATAACCGTGTGAGATAACAGATGCCTCGATGCCACAACAAAAGCACATTGACAAATATTCTGGACAGAGAGATTTTCCGTCAACAGATGGGGAAGCCGAGACAAGGAGACTGCCAAACAAGGAATCCATGACAGAGCTAGAATGAGAACCCAAGCCCCTGGCGTTGCTCTGCTCACTTCACTGAGCCATACATAAATAGTATGTTCTTTTCGGTGACTACTGATAGCGATAGGAGGGTTCGGAATTTGCTGACCTTGCATTCTGGAAGTTCCTCTGACTGGTCTGGGGGTTCCCTCCCTATACCAGCGATTCACCTGATAGTAGGAGAATAGTTTCAGGGCAATGATGATATACACAAACATGGTCAGCAACCCTCCAGCTAAGAAACAAGAGAGAAAATAACCTGTTGTGGTAGTTCCAGGTTCAGTTTATCTTTTCTTCCCAAACACACAGACTTAGTACAATGATGTTGTCTTTGCTAATTAGATAAAGGATATCAGTCTATCTATGCAGCCTGCCTAATGCATCCATAAAATAGCTTTGCAAACTAATTCCTTCTCATTACAACGAGGTGCCCAATGACACTTGACTGCTTGAGTGTCCTTTAAATCTATACACACCTTGGGACCAATTTTCTGCTGGCACCGACTTTGACAGAGGGCCCCGGCAGCAGATACTCTGCCTAGAGAGGTTGTCACAAAGCCACAAGAGCCAACGCAGCCCCAAAGGTGGGCAACCATGGCCAGGGAGAGGGCATGGCAAGTCAGCCAAGAGATGTCCTGGCTCAGTACATCCCCACTGAAGCCTCTGCCAGAGAGGCTCCAAGAGACCCCTAGAGATTAAAACTGCTGGATGGCAGCAGTGGGCACACTGCCAGCTCTCCCCCACTGTGAAGCCCCCCTATAGCGAAAGGGGCCTTGCTCCTATAGAGAAGCACAGCGTAAACCGCACTGCCCCGGGAGGGTGGATCAATCCCTAAACCAGGCAATGCTGTGAATCAGGAGGTTGGTAACAGAAGTGACCATTGAAAAGAAAGCATATGTCAGCTTGTTACCACACAGTGATACCAGAGATACCATAGGCTCTCTCTAGATTTAGTACAGGAAATAACTGCGGTACCTGTGACTTTTTAATGGCAAACAATGTTAGTAGTTAAAATTATAAAGCATGGCAGAGAAAGCCTCTTTAAATATGGTTTAATACGGTTTCCTTCTCCCTAGTGATGTAGCCATATCATATTAGTTACATCAGATGATGGTGTTACATCGTTAATCTGCACACCGCAAAACTAAGTGACACTCCAAATTTTGAGAGAGCTTCTTTATTTATTGTCACCCATCAGTTCACTTGATTGAATGAACACTATCACCCACCGCACACATTTACCCTCAAAAATCTGAATACAGATTTTTTTTTGTTTGGTGTATTATTAAACAGAGCATGCAAGACATGACAGTGTCATGGCATACAAACAGTGTTGGGAGTTACGGGTAGGAGTTCACTTGGCTGTGACATCTGGAGTTTCCAATGATTTACTATTTGTTTCAGCAGATGGAGCTATTGCTATTGCATTACTATACATACCCAATGTGTTCAAAGCCAAAAGCACTTTTTCTGCTTGGTTATTTGTTGAAAGAATTGCCAGCTACCTCCAGGGAAATTATAAACAATATGATAGTTTAGCAAATTGGTTAACCTGCTATGTAGATTCAGTGCCCAAGTTTCAGAACTCCAGGTTCACTAGTGTGCACACAGGTAGCACTTGTAATTATCACATACGTGCATATGCAAACTGGGTGACTGCACACTCAAATGACTAGCTGTGCATTTAACTGGTCATTTGCACCACAAATTAGGCTCACTTGTATGTCCATTTGCAGGCCTCTGGGTCCCAAATTTAGGCCTTTACGTAATTCCTTCCTGTGTGTATGTAAACAGCAGCTTTCACCTTGATAATCAGCCATCTCCTTCAGCCAGATTACCTCACTGAAGTCACAATCCAGTGTTTTAAAACATCACAGGTCACTACAATGGAAGTGACCTGGTGCCAGACTGGGTCTCTGAAGGATACATTTGCCAGAATGAGCAGGTTTTTATAAAGATGACATATTTACGCACAGGTATATTGGGAAAAGGAATATAAACAAGTACGCAAAAATTGAATATACATTTCCTAAAATAGATTTTAAAAATATGTCCACTTGTGGGAGGAGTGCTTTAAATTAGAATTTGGGATAAATGGCCTAATAATCTACTGTACAAGCATCTATGTATTATATGAGGCTATAGACCAACAAAGGTTTCTGTGAACATCATAAACTTTGAGAGAGGAGAACTGGGACTCCTGACTCCTCTTGGTACGCAGACTTATTATCATCATCCCTGACAGAAGCTACACACATGTACAAAGGGGCCAGGGAACAGAACACTTGGAACAGAAGGACAGAATATCTTGAAGAACTGTCTTTTTATATTCTGCATGTCAAACAAGTCAGATGAATATGCATGCACATTACTAAAAGAACTTCGAGATGTCCAAGTCAGAATTTTAATGCCTGTTGTTCTGTGGCACTGTTCAGAGACCACATGATCCTGAATTACCAAGACTGCCCTATACACTTTTAAATACTTTGTCATATTGAATTTTAAAAACAATATATTGTGGCCAGCAGCCCTTCCCTTCTCCTCCTACCTGAAGACAAACACATCTGTTGTGTGACAAACTGCACATTACATTATAGTGCTGGCCATAAGTACCTCTAGCACAAAACAAGCGTCTCTCACCTGGAGTTATGGCTTGCATTCTATAAACCATCACAGCTGGGAATGTTACCAGTAAAAGGAGGTTAACTGACTGCAACACCAAACCAATGCTTTCAGATCCACGAACCTACAAAGGATAATAATGTTATAGCATAACCAGTGATTCTTTGGCCTTAACACTGTAGTGCTTTCTAAATCAGGATGTTTTTGGTGAATTTACTGCTCATGAAAGTGCTGGACAGAAAGGAAAACTAGGAATGTTGCAAGCTTCCTCCATATACCTCTACCAAAGACCAACCATCTTAGCCTCCAAGATATATTTCAACTCCAGTCTCCGACTCAAAGACTGAGAGTTGTGCCAACTGTGTGGTAGTTTAGGACTGATAAAAAGCTAGCCAGACTGAGGCCACATAACTCATTTTACTGGTGACCAAATCTACATTTGATTCTTGATCTCCAAAGCTGAAATGCACGAGTGCATTAAACTGTGCTACTAATGTTCTTTACAATCAATAATGGCTTATGGGTATTTCACTTCTCCCAGTAGATCCGTAACAAGAAGTGTTCAGTCAGAAATATCATTTCAGAGAGCAAGCACAATGCATAGCAAACAACCAGTTCACCTACCTTTCTTAAATACCTTTCTATAAAAACTGCAGGAAGTGCAAACAAAACAGAGGCTGAAAGGAAGAAAAATAATAAAACATCAGGAAATAAATCTGTATCAAACACATCTATGGTAAGTAAGTGCACGGGTAGGACTCAACTGGTGGGCAGTGACATGTTCTACTAGAACTTTTCTGGAGATCTACAAGTTTCAGCAGAATGGAAGCTTTCATTTTTTTAAAATGATGTTTCTAGCCCTTCTGGTTGTGAATATGCTGTTCTGAATGTGATCCAACACCAAGATGACACTTCAGACAGAATGAAATCATAGCTCCCAGGGCTAAATGCTAAACTCTGCTCCACAGAAGTGGAAGGCCATAAACACACTGTGGAACAACTGGGGTTCCCTGCAAGGACAGGGACAGCATGCAGTGGAATGTGGTGTGACAGAGGTCATGTAGAAGAGTGGCATAGGGAGCAGCTACTATATGGACAGTTCTAAACTGCTCACTTAGGAAGGCATATGGGCCCCAGTTGTTATTAAAGCACATGGGCTATTGAAGTGGCTATGCAGATGCTCAGCATCAACCGGCTGGATTGGGGAAGGGAAAATGTCTTTTCCTACAACCCCTCTTAGATCTTTTGTCCAAAACTGGACTTTGCATGAAGCTGAAGGGAAAATGTAAAACAACAAGCACCATATGGTTAAAGTTTTAGTGCCATATGTGGGGAATGAGATGTGCAGTTCTCATTAATAACAAGGAGCTGAGTATCTCTTTTCCTGTGCTCTACAGTGAAAACCACCACCACCACTTAAAGCCAAAATCCACTTGAATTCCATGCTGTTTTCCACAGCATCCTGCTGGAGTGTGGGGTAATCGTATCAGATCTTTATTTTCAGAGCTGATTTAGATTTTTTAAATGATTAGCATTTTTAAAACTGCTCACTATTTCTGCGTATCTGCACTTGCTGGGAAAAAGGCAGCAAACTGCTCTGCAAATCAGGAAGGTTTAAGATATACAGCCATTCTGAAGTTAATAGGAACTGTGCATGCACAGTAGCTGCAGAATCCGATCAATTGTACTAACTACAAACCTCCTCACCTTCTGCTCCACGTGCCAGGTGCACTCCTCTGACCTGCCTTCTCTAACATTAACACAGACCAGCATAGACATTTTAAAACTCAAACAAAACCCTACCAAAACAAAGCACTCCATTGCACACACAAATCTCCCCTGGGGGAGAGAGAGAACAAGTCACATGTGATAGATGTTAGTCTTGTTGCTAAATGCACCACTTAGGCCACAACATTTTGCTGGCACTTAGGCCACAACATTTTGCTGGCATAACTATGTTGGTCAGGGGTGTGAAAAGGTGTGATCCCTGACCAAGACAGCTGTCCTGGCGAAGCCCCTATTGCAGATGTAGTTATACGAGCAAAAGTGCACTTTTGGGGGACTCGTACTTGTGACGGGTTGGATCACAGAAACCCCCTTGGGAGCTGCCACCTGATGTGCAAAAGACTACCTCTGCTCCTGTTTTCCCTGCCAGCTCAGGACTCCAGCACCCTGTCTTGCTGAGCCAGACTCTCCCATCTGCTCCAACACGGACCCAGGGTCTGAATCACTTGCCCCAAAGCTGCAAGTTTACCTGAAAACAGCTCACAGACGTGTGCTTGTCTTTAGCACTCAGATGCCCAACTCCCAATGGGGTCTAAACCCAAATAAATCCGTTTTACCCTGTATAAATCTTATGCAGAGTAAACTCATAAACTGTTCGCCCTCTATAACACTGATAGAGAGAGATCCACAGTTGTTTGCTCCCCCAGGTATTAATACATACTCTGAGTAAATTACTAAATAAAAAGTGATTTTTATTAAATACAGACAGTAGGATTTAAGTGGTTCCAAGTAGTAACAGACAGAACAAAGTAAGTCACAAGCAAAATAAAATAAAATGTGCAAGTCTATGTCTAATCAAACTGAATACAGATAATCTCACCCTCAGAGATACTTCAGTAAGCTTTTTCTCAGACTGGACACCTTCCAGGCCTGGGCACAATTCTTTCCCCTGGTACAGCTCTTGTCGCAGCTCAGGGGATAGCTAGGGGATTCTTCATGATGGCTCCTCTCTCTCCTTTGTTCTCTTCCACCCCTTTATATATCTTTTGCATAAGGCGGGAACCCTTTGTCCCTCTGGGTTTCCACCCCCCCTCACTGGAAAAGCACCAGGTTAAAGATGGATTCCAGTTCAGGTGACATGATCACATGTCACTGCAAGACTTCATTACTCACTTGCCAACACACACATATACAGGAAGACTCACAGGTAAACCCAGCCATCTGCAGACAATGGGAGTCATCAAGATTCCAAACCATCCTTAATGGCCCACACTTTACATAATTACAATAGGCCCTCAGAGTTATATTTTATATTTCTAGTTTTAGATACAAGAGTGGTACATTTATACAAATTTGGATGATCACACTCAGTAGATTATAAGCTTTGTAATGATACCTTACAAGAGACCTTTTGCATGAAGCATACCCTAGTTACGTTATTTTCACTTTTTACCATATTTTTCTAAAGCTATCCCAGTTACATTATATTCACTTATTATCATATTTTTATAAAACCATATAGACTGCACAACATCACAGTACTCTCACCCTCACCCGTATTTTCCTCCGGGGCCTGAGAAAAAACATACTGTCAAAAGCGCAAATTATAAGCTACAACCATTCTAGCAGCACTTTGCCTGTATAATGCTCAGCACAGCAATACCAACAAAGCATTCCTAGTGTAGACCTGGCTTCAGACACTATGGTGATGAGGACAACAGGCTAATCAATAGAATAGAACAGAAACTCTTCCTCTCAAGTCTCTCTCCTAGAAGCTAAAATTCATGATAGGTGTAAATGGATTCAACTCTGCTTTCTCCAGTGGAGTTACAGTTTCTTATACCATTGGTGTATTTGGCCCTGAGACTTCATTGCTAAAATCCAAGTCTCAAAGCATCACTCATAATAATTGAGCTAGGTTCATCCTGGGTTTGGCATTCTCACTGAATGTGCTTTGGTTTGATTTCATTAACGCTGCTCGTAAATATGGAAATATGCAAAAAAGAGAAAACCAGAAGCTACGCTGCTTCTCCTACCAGGGATTTAAACCCTGCCAAAAATCCACATCTGGGTTTGTATGATAATAACTGGATGCTGCTTGTGATCCAGAAAAGTGCAGAGAAAATACATTTGTTATAGAAATATTTCATGGGATGGTGTTAAATTCAAAAGTGACACCATTAAGTATTCAGCAAATGATATTTGCACACTGTCATCTTACCAGCAATGAGATATACTGCTGGCCACTTATAGGGGTCTTTCAGGAAAACGGAGATTATCTTTACCGGGTCGAATAGCAGTCCATATCTGAGAGAGAAAAACAGTGAGGTGGTGCAGAAACTCTATGGTTTGATACTTAGAATCATGGATACACTTCTACCTAACTGTCAAACTCAGAAAAGATGCTTGTGTCATTTCTCCTACTCGCTCCCCCAGATCTTGAATCCCCAAACCTCTCCCAACTGTAGTTGTTCAAAACAGAGAGCATGATTCCCCCAACTTTTGAGATCGAGGACTGAAATCCGATCCCCCCATATTCTCTCTTTGCTCCAGCGGAGACACTATAATTTAACATCACCCAGGGGTTCCACCAGAGGGAGCAGTTTTAAAATGTTGGTGAGGGTTCTGCAGGAGCCTTGCAAGTGGCATGTGCCCAGAAGATGCATTAAATCAGCACACATTCCCTGGCACTCACTAGCCAGTCTTGCCCACTTGCTAGGATGCACTGACAGGTTCGGAGTCTCCTAAAGAAGTGGAGATTGTGGGCAACATGTGCTGCTTCACTCCTCTTCAGATGGACCTGTTAGTTGGTTCCCCTGGTTTACATTCCCCTTTTCCAAGGTTAATAGTTTTTTCCAAATACAGTAGAACCCTGATTTTATGAACGGCCAGTTATAGGAACCTTTTTTCTGCTGCCAAATGTGATTTCAATCCCTCAGCCAATGTTCAAGGGGCTGTACAGGTTTGAAAAGACTAAGAGATCTGGAAGCGAAGAAAGGCAGTTCCCTCAAAGAAAAATCAGGGATGCTGTATACATATACCATTCATTAAGGACACTCACTGAACAATTACTACATTCACGTATGCAGTGTACCTACTGTAATTTTCAGATTTCAATTTTATTAAATTTTCGGTTCCCAATTAGTTCATAAAATAAGGGTCCTACAATAATGCAAAATATCCTTGCTGAGCTGGTTCTGATAGTAATCATATTATACGGGCCAAATTCTCAGAGGGTGTACACTGGTGTAGATCCATTGAGTTCAATTGATTTGCACCAATTAGCCCCAGCTGAAGATCTGGTCTTACACTTCTGTAGCATCTTTCACTCCAAAGGATCCCAAAATATTTCACAAATTATGGACAAGATTCTGCCGTGGGCACCCTCCTGCGTGGAGGCTGCATAGGGTCTACGTGGCAGATGAACACATGAGGATGCTGCATGCTCTACACAATATGATTCGGGACAGCCCCTACACAGGGAGTCAGTAAAGCAAATTCTTTGCATCCTTCCCCACTCTTGGACACCAGAAGAAGGGTCCTATAACCACACAGCAGCCCAGAAATGTAGCTACTTTGGCAGTGGAAGGCAGCAATCAGGTGGACAAATGATGCACAGCATGACCGGGGGATGCCCAGGAATTTTGGTCAAGGACAGCAGGGCAAACCTGTACTCGTCTGAAACATACCATGGGATTGTTAATGTTCAGGCAGAGCAAACAGGTTTCTAAGGACTAAATTATTTAGTAAACATCATGGAACTTAACTTATCCACCACTGAAGGCTGAAGGGCTGAGTTAATCATGCTGGGATTTGAAACCATGGGTAGAGAATCTAGGTATTTTGAAATCTGAAGCTTAGACCACTATGCCGTCCTGTCCAGCAAACAATTCTGGGACACCGTCATAGTGTTCAGGGGAAAATTTGATGCAGTTGTTTCTTTTTTTGTTGTTTACTGATTAATCACAGAATGACTCTTCAGTCAATATACGCCTACTCCCCCTGCAACTAAGAATTCAAGTTCCCCAGAATTGTGAAACAATGCTTTTCTTTTTTAGTGACATACTTACCTGATGAAATTCTCCAGGCTCATGTGAACATGTGTGAGGACCTAGAGTAAAGAAATATACACAGTTCATCAGAGTTCTATGCAAAAACGCATTTAAAATATCAGCATTCAGATTGGCTGGAAACAGCTTGCCTGTAGCCTGCAAGAACTAATTTCCTTTACACAAACCAAAAAGTTGATGACAAATGCATTCTTTTGGCTTCCTTTAATTAGAATAAGCCAGAGTAGCTCAGAAGAAGCTGATGGGTCCATTCAGAATAGTCAAGTTTATGTAAGAGAATAGCCTCTTTTTTCCCAAACTGATCACCAACTCCAATTTCTTACATTTCTTGATGACATTTGTTTTATTCTGCTTGAAAAAAACCCACAATCTATTCAACAGATCCCAGGGAAGACAACAGATCTTTTTCTTCTCTCCTAAGGTGGAAGTCAGGAGTCACTCCCCATAATGGAGTTACATCTGTGCATAGCTGGTGTGAGAAGAGAATCAGTTACAAGAAGCCTACTGTGCGAGGTGACAAATTTCAGGGAGGGAGGATGTTAAACCCTAATGATGAAAATGGAGGAAAGGACTGATTGCTTTGCTCAGTTGGCTGAGCAAGGCTTGCTTTCCCTCTCTAGGAAGAAGAGAAGTCCTCTCTCTAAAACAAACAAAACACAGTCTGGCTCTCCATGGCATTACACCAGATTTACACCCACAAAATTCCATTGACTTCAGGGGTCTGAAACTGTGGGGAATCACACTGATTCACTGGGATCTACTAGAGAAATATGCTGACCCAACAGGGCTTCATGTTGTATCAACCTCTCCCTAAAGGAAAAATGCATTTCCCCACCATTTCCCCACAATTCTAAGCTGCAGGTACTTGCAAAGAGTTAGTAATATACATAAAGGAACACAAAGAGAATGGAAAGTTACTGACTTGGTACAACAAAGAAGTGACAGCTGCTGGCTCTAAATTTAGGAGCTGAGACAAGAAATACCAAACATTTTTGTAAGTATTACCAAGTAAATCATGAAAGGTTTAATCTATTCAGCGCCTCCCTGTAAGGGTTTAAAGTCAGAAACACTAATCAAACATCTATTATCGGTCTACGTTACTTGGTGATTTTCCACTTACCAATAGGACTACAGACCAGTTAAAAATGCCTTGAAAATTGTTGAATCCACTCCCATACGATAATAGGGATTCACACAACGTATGACAGCTAAGGGGAAAAAAACGAAGAATGACTGTAATGCTTCCATTTTCATTTTTATTGAAAATGTAGTTTTCAATAGAAACGGTAGTATCTGAAAGACAAATATATTCTCACTTTAATTTTCCTCTTCAGTGGCTTCTTAGAAAACTTTGAAATTAAGAGCTTGTCTACATGAACAGTTAGTTCGTGGCACGCTGGATTGGGTGTAAATCTACCCTGTTCTAGCCTCCTACATGCTAAGCATCCATGTGGACCCTGCTGATGTCCGCTAACATTTCGGTTGTGCAGTATGCTGCGTTGAAACAGGAGTAGATTAAAGTGTACTGGGGAAATCTTAGTGCATAGTAGCAGGGTCCACACGGACACTTAGTGCACGGCAGGCTAGTGCAGAGTAGATTTATACCCGACTTGCCATGAACTACACAGAATATCCGGGCTGGAAGGGACCTCAGGCGGTATCTAGTCCAACCCCCTGCTCAAAGCAGAACCAACCCCAACTAAATCATCCCAGCCAGGGCTTTGTCAAGCTGGGCCTTAAAAACCTCTAAGGATGGAGATTCCACCACCTCCCTAGGTAACGCATTCCAGTGCTTCACCACCCTCCTAGTGAAATAGTGTTTCCTAATAGCCAACCTAGACCTCCCCCACTGCAACTTGAGACCACTGCTCCTTGTTCTGTCATCTGCCACCACTGAGAACAGCCGAGTTTCATCCTCTTTGGAACCCCCCTTCAGGTAGTTGAAGGCTGCTATCAAATCCCCCCTCACTCTTCTCTTCTGCAGACTAAACAAGCCCACTTTCCTCAGCTTCTCCTCATAAGTCATGTGTCCCAGCCCCCTAATCATTTTCATTGCCCTCCGCTGGACTCTCTCCAATTTGTCCACATCCCTTCTGTAGTGGGTGGACCAAAAATGGACGCAATACTCCAGGTGTGGCCTCACCAGTGCTGAATAGAGGGGAATAATCACTTCCCTCGATCTGCTGGCAATGTGCCTACTAATACAGCCCAATATGCCATTAGCCTTCTTGGCAACAAGGGCACACTGGTGACTCATATCCAGCTTCTCATCCACTGTAATCCCCAGGTCTTTTTTTGCAGAATTGCTGCTTAGCCAGTCAGTCCCCAGCCTGTAGTGATGCATGGAATTCTTCCTTCCTATGTAGGCAAGTCCTAATCTTATAGGCCAACCGTAGAAAGCAGTAATGTCATAGGGTGGTAGTGTGGCCTAGAAGACCCCACACTAGACTAGAATTCAGAAGACCTGGTTTGTTTCACTAGCTGTAAAATGTGTTCCTCCTTTGTCAGGGAAAAGTGCTTGGAGATCTAGGGGATGACAAGTCTTAGGCCTGGTCTACACTACGAGTTTAGGTCGACTTTAGCAGCGCTAAATCGAATTAAGACTTGACACATCCACACAACGAAGCCCTTTCTTTCGACTTAAAGGGCCTTTTAAACCGGTTTCTTTACTCCACCTCCAACGAGGGGATTAGCGCTAAAATCAGCCTTTGTGGGTCGGATTTGGGGTAGTGTGGAAGGAATTCGACGTTATTGGCCTCCGGGAGCTATCCCACAGTGCTTCATTGTGACCGCTCTGGACAGCGCTCTCAACTCAGATGCACTGACCAGGTAGACAGGAAAAGCCCCGCGAACTTTTGAATTTCATTTCCTGTTTGCCCAGCATGGAGAGCACAGGTGACCACGCAGAGCTCATCAGCACAGGTAACCGTGATGGAGTCTCAGGATCACAAAAGAGCTCCAGCATGGACCGAACGGGAGGTATGGGATCTGCTCGCCATATGGGGAGATGAATCAGTGCTAGCTGAACTCCGTAGCAGTAAACAAAATGGCAAAATATTAGAAAAAGTCTCAAAGGCCATGAAGGACAGAGGCCATAACAGGGATGCACAGCAGTGCCGCGTGAAAATTAAGGAGCTAAGGCAAGCCTACCACAAAGCCAGAGAGGCAAACGGAAGGTCTGGGGCAGAGCCGCAAACATGCCGCTTCTACACGGAGCTGCATGCCATTCTAGGGGGTGCAGCCACCACTACCCCAACCGTGTGCTTTGACTCCATCAATGGAGAATCACATAACAGGAAAGCGGGTTCGGGATACGTGGAAGATGATGATGATGATGAAGACAATGAAGATAGCTCACAGCAAGGAAGCGGAGAAACCGGTTTCCCCAACAGCCAGGATATGTTTATCACCCTGGACGTGGAACCAGTAACCCCTGAACTCACCCAAGACGTGCTCCCAGATCCTGAGGACACACAAGGGACCTCTGGTGAGTGTACCTTTGTAAATATTACACATGGTTTAAAAGCGTGTTTAATGATTAATGATTAATTTGCCCTGGCAATCGCGGCCAGTACAGCTACTGGAAAAGTCTGTTAACGTGTATGGGGATGGAGCGGAAATCCTCCAGGGACATCTCCAGAAAGCTCTCCTTCATGTACTCCCAAAGCCTTTGCAAAAGGTTTCTGGGGAGGGCTGCCTTATCCCGTCCGCCATGGTAGGACACTTTACCACGCCAGGCCAGTAGCATGTAGTCTGGAATCATTGCACAACAAAGCATGGCAGCATATGGTCCCGGTGTTTGCTGGCATGCAGACAACATCCATTCCTTATCTCTCTTTGTTATCCTCAGGATAGTGATATCATTCATGGTCACCTGGTTGAAATGGGGTGATTTTATTAAGGGGACATTCAGAGGTACCTATTCCTGCTCGGCTGAACAGAAATGTTCCCCGCTGTTAGCCACGTGGTGGGGGGGGAGGGGTGAAGTGATCATCCCAGAGAATTGGGTGTGTGTGTGGGGGGGGGGAGTAGTTGGGTTTGTGCTGCATGTTAACCTGGAAACCGCAGCCCCTCCTTTTA